TGGGTTTTCATGGCATTGAATTGAATCTGGTTACTTTCACTCCAGTTCGAGATCACTTCTAGATCATCATTAAGATATGCAATCTCCTGCTGTCGGTGAAAATATGCATCCGTAGTCGATGTCCTGGAATGACAGAGAGTTAGAAAAAATATGGATTCCTGGGGAATACCAGCGTTGATGATAAAAGTATTCGAGAGATATCAATCGATGGCCACTTGCAGGAAACATTATTTCAAGAAGCTGGAGAGCCATGCACAAAAATGATCCGACAAACCATCGCGTCTAAGTTTGGCCAGCAAACTCTCATGCAACACACGGTCAAGATTTTTCTTGCCTTTTTTGGGAATAAGCTGAACGCAAAAAATCTTCCAACGAGAAGGAAAAACCCACTTGTAAGATAGGTCGAAAAGTCTGCAAAATACCGGTGCAAGTTCATTTGCGCACTTTTCAAGTACGATGACGGGCACTTCATCAGGACCAGACGCCTTGTTGATATTGAGCTGTTTCAAAATTAGCCCAACTAGACGTTGTCGAAAAGTAATTTCCGGCATTGTGGATTCTAGAGTAGTAGTAATAGTGGGTGGTGTGTCCCCCCAGAAAATCTACTGTAGAGTGATTATCAGAAACAAGTTATAATGTATTATTTTTTATTTTCAGTTGTTAAGTGATTACTATTTCGTAATTGGCATATTATCGTCCGTTATTAATCATGCAAGGACTTGTCATTATCCAATTTTCTTATACCGGATGAGTTGTGAAACCAATTTGAATATAGCGAAGAAACTATTCAAAATGCAGGATATACCAGGTATAACTTGTTTATTACTTTTTTAGTGTGCAATAGTATTGTTATTAAGATTCTAGTTACAAACGTTTTCAATATTTTTCATGTTCATCATGGCAGTTATCATTATATTTCATCAGTAACAAGTAAATTTCCCAAATTTACATTACGTGGAAGAAGACAAATAAGAATGTCTTTACAGTAAAGACACGCCCCAAGAAGCCATTGTATGGCGAAACACATGTTGCGTTTTTGTGAAATCGTGTAGTAAAAATCTCACAATAAAGTGTTTTTTAAATACGTTAGATTCAAAATGATTTAACGTTACCGAAATATTGGTCACTACAAAATCATTTTTCACGCGAAACGTTAGGATCACGAAATAGTTTCATGTCGCCAGAATATTAGTCAGTACCGAATTATATTCAGATCGCCGAAACAAACGATTATTTCTCACTTCACCAAAGCAATAAACAAAAATGATTTTTTCTCCAACGAGCAAGACCGTATCTTAAAACAATTTACGTAGCCGTAATATCAGTCACTTCCATTTCACATTACCGGAACGTTCATCACTTCCAAATAAATTCAACGTCTCAGAAATAATTAATTCGCAAATTGAAGATAGATCTGAAACCTCGGGTGTAGAAAGAATCCTAAACAAGCGATGATCCCAAAAACAGAACTTCAACACTCTTTACAAAGCGCATTTCACCATTGTCCAGAACACAAAATGGCAGGACTAAATGTTCGTGCTCATAGCCTTGTTCCTTCTATATTTTCATTTTTGGTAAATGAGAAACTGATTACCAGAATATGGCCGAAAGGAGATTTCCAGTGGTCCCATATGAAGTTGGGGCTCCAGAATGAAGAATCAGCTATGAAGAAATATAAGATGGTCTGTCCCAAAAATGAAAATGCAGAAGGAACTCAGAAAGATAGGTTATTTATTCATTAGCAAATGTCAAATGTCATTATTTTACCGCAGTTGGTAACCATTGGGTCACATCACTTATTAATAAGGTCAATTAATTCGCAAATTGAAGATAGATCCGAAACCTCGGGTGTAGAATGGAATCCAAAACAAGCGATGATCCCAAAAACAGAACTGCAACAGTCTTTACAAAGCGCATTTCACCATTGTCCAGAACACAAAATGTCAGGACTAAATGTTCGTGCCCATAGTCTTGTTATGTTTCCTTTGATTGAAGAATTAATTTGCTGTTTGAAAGCCATTTGCAGTGTACTCTTCATTATCTACATATTGTCTACACATGTATTTTCTTCTAAGTTGGCTACTATGTGTATTTGTCATTAGCTTCAGTTATCATACTACTAAGATTTATTTGTTGTTTTTATTTCATTTTTTCCATTTGTCTTAGTATTTAGTGGAGGTAACGGTGTGAACAATTAACATGACAACTGACACTAATGACAAATAAACATAGTAACCAACTCAGAAAATTGTATGCGCTTTAAATATCGTACATTAAATTTTTGTGTTTACAGTGTTGCCTACATGAATAACATGTGTTTTGTCGTTTGTCATTGTCAACGCCATAGAATAAATACCGCAAGATTCAGATTTTGAATTTCATTGGATAGTAATACAAGAGAAACAGGCAAGAATTCATCGTTCCGTCTTAATACTTGTGCTTTATTACTTTGTTCTGTGTTGCTCAACAAAACTTGACTGGTGGAGAAAGTGAAGAAAATTTGAATACAGTAGTATTTCATATTTTATGAGAAGAAATTTTTGTTCCTAGTTGTTTCAACATTTGTTGTGACTAAAAAGGGGCTTCATGGAAGAGGTGATTAATGAATAGAAGGAATGAGGAAAAGGGAGAATATAAAAATCAAAATAATTCACAACATGTTTCATTCAGTTATCAATAACAGTCATAAATGTTTGAAAAAAATTAATCATAGGGAAAATTAGTAATTCAGCTTATTCTCATGAAAGTGAAAACTTCCAGCTAGAATAGTTTCTGTGATTTTATTTTCAGGTGTTTGTCATGGGGAAGATCTCGCTTATCTATTTAAACACAGCTTAGGTCTTGACGTGGAAATCGGAGAGGTCGAAATGGTTTGTCTGCGGAGGTTCCTGAAATTATGGACGAATTTTGCCAAGTATGGAAATCCGACTCCAGAGAAAAACGATTTGAATATTCAGTGGAAACCTGTGGATGGAGAACACGTGAATATCTTGGATATCGGAAAAGAACTCGTCATGGAAACTAATCCCGAAGATGATAGAGTTCGTCTGTGGAAGGAGATTTACCAGCTGAGTCCTGCTACTGCAAATTATTTGTGAAAATATCACTTCTGTTTTTATTGTTCTGTGATTGACCAAACTATTATATATTATAATTTTCTTATGTTTCATATAGTAATAGTTTAGGCTCCATCTACTTGAAATGAAAAAAAATCCATCTCATTTGTGATGAAAATTCTGATTATATTTCAAAAATCCGCCAGCGTTTTATTAAAATGATAATAATGATAATTTTATAATATACTTCAGTAAAAATTCCTGCACCGACACCTATCAGATATAATCTAACGCTGTTCGTGGTATTAGCCAGGGGAGTAAAAATTCAGTCCATTAACCTACAATGTAGGGATTTGAGACTGGACTAAACGAATTTTTCCTTTAGATGATACAACTTACCTGGAAAGCATTTAATATTGTCACCGATAACAGCAGAGTGCATATCTCAATGAGGATGTAGGGTTGATTTCGAATTGTGGTGAAAGTTATTCAACGATCAGCTAGATTTTAATAACAAATTGTGGAACTGAATATTTTAATAAACTTTATTGGGTAACAAAAAACATATCGTCAGACATCACACATTGTTCTGTTTGGTGTAACGCTAAAATTTCCCTAAGTACAACAGATAGTTGGCAACGCCGGTATTAAAAGAAAGTTAAAAATGTAAAAGAGGTTGAAATAGTTGAATAATAAAATTATAAATATAATAAAAGTCTCCTATCATTGAAATATAGATCGGAAAGAGAAATCAATAGAATTACTCACAAAACATAAAATGTTCTACTCATATCATAAACCCTCAATTAAAAAAATGACAAGCGACGGAATTGCCAACTTAAACTAAGTTTATCAACAAAAGTAACCAGGTTCAATTCAATGTCACAAAAACCTGGGAATCAGTTTTCTCTAAAGAGATATATGTCTCCGAACCGAAATAATAATGTTTTCATAAAACAGCTCTAAAACAACGCATTTTAAACGTATCATTTTAACCTTCTTCTTTAAAAAATTATTTGAATACTTGAAAAAGAGGTATGAAATAATGCATTCAACTTTTAAAGGGATTCGTTACTATTTCACCAGTTGGCAACATCGGTTACAGCTAATAAAGGACATTGAATCTGTTACCTGTATGAGACAAACAAAGATGATATATTTCAGAGGCGTGCTGTTCTGTTTACTTCTGTTCCGAGTTCCGAGACATTCTGTGACATATGACATTTTGTGCACCTAACCTATCTTCCTCTATATAAATAACAAAACAACTATTGTTTATGTGGCTTGTGGAGGTGGTATTGAACTTTAATTTATATTTTACCTTAATTGTTGATTTATAAAGGTGATTTTTCTTTTTTAAAGTAGAATATCTCTGATGTAGCATTCTAGGCGCTGTTGCCAATATGTGAATTAGAAACAAATCCCTTTAAAAATTAAATCCCAACATTAAAATGTCGTATGGACCGTCGTATACAAGATGATGTCTATTTATCGTTTTGGCAAAATTTTATTTTTTCGTAGTCCCCATTAAAAAAAATGGGTAAAAAAATAAAATTTCACTTAGATGGCCATAACTTCAAATCCAGATGTATTTCTCAATGCTGAAAACTTTTCTAAATAACATTTCCAGAGATTTTTCAAAACAAGAGTACTTTACTCTAGTCACAAAATCAAATATTTGAAGGCTCCTCGTATATTACGTATGTTGTACTGTATTTTGTTGGTGCATGTTCAGTTTTAGGGGATGCACAAACTTTTATCAAGAATGACTTCTTGTCGAAAAACCCTTAATAAATAAGTTTCCCATATGGTGCATACTTTGAGGATGACACTGTTGTGAATCATTGCACAAAGCAACATGAAAAATTACATAAAAGTCCGGACAGTCGGTTTTTTAGACACATCCACACTTGATTACCAACCACTCAAATTTTATCAAACGATCAAACCTTTATATCGACAGTCTATGCATACAGACTATCATAGACCAAGATTAAACCACAGTATACTTATTAAACAGTTACACGTCTGTTATACGAAACCCTTTTCAGTGCAATCTTCAAGTTGTCGCTTCGCTCGCCTGAACCATCCGACAATCGTGTTTTTAGTTTGCCAAATATGGCGTCGCCAGTAGTCGCTATTTCGGAGGGACAAGTCAGAGGGTGCGTTGGGACCGATTTTGACGGGGGCCAGTTTTATTCCTTTCTCGGAATTCCCTACGCTAAACCCCCAGTCGGAGAGCTCAGATTCAAGGTGAGTTATGTAGCAGATATATTATAATATCACTGTCGAAGCGAATGTTTTTATTGAGGATGAGTTTTGTGTATTCTTCTCAAAGGCTTGGGTTGAAATGTATTCACAGATATACCGAACTGAAATTCGGGCTGGAGATTGTAAACTTTCAACGCAAGGAATCGAGTTACGGATAGTATTACAAATTATCAAATTTGATGACAGAGAACTATTCTACGTGGTACTTTCATTATGTCACTAATGAGGATATTTGAATGTTTTACACGTACTTACCGTGCGTTCCACTTAGCGCTCACAGAGATCAATATACCCTTTTAACCGTTACACATAACTACCGCGGTCGTTGAGTTTGCGGTTAAAACGTCACTTATGACGTCATTATTTTTGTCCACGGCAAGCTCACAACGACCCATCTGAAGAGCTTGAAGATGTCAACAAGAAATTTAGGAGTAGCATGTGATCGTTGTGAACGCTTAATGGAACGCACACTGAATATCATAAATTGAATTTTCCCCTTTCAAAAACTACCCGACGGGTATCATACGGTTTTCACCAAATTTTGAAATCACGAGATTAAATCATAATTTCAAGTTCAAAATTGAAATTAAAGTCGTTTGTAATTTCTGGATGAAGTCAAAATTTCGACGAAATTATAGTCGTAATTTTGAAGAGATTAAAGCCGAAATTTGTAAATTGAAGTCGAAATTTTGATATTGAAGCCGAAATTTCGACGAGATGAAAGTTGAAACTTTAAAATTACGAGACCAAAGTCGAAATTTTGATATTATATCCCAAATTCCGAGGTCGAAATTTCCAGTTAAAAGTACTAATTTCGACTCCAAACTTCAAACCTGAAATTTCCAGATTGAAGTTGAGTTTGATGTACAATTCAGTTTGGAACTGGGTTACTTTATAGAAAAGGTTGCGAAATACAGTTGACTTTCGACGAGGTGGCACCTGAAGAAAGGGAGATGGTGTGGTTGAAAACAAGGTTGGCACCAGTGACATATGGCAGTTTGAATTTTAGTATAAGAAATTACTTTGGGAGTTTGGTTTATGGGGCGTTTATGAATTTTCCTCAAATTTCTCAAATGAACATTTTTATCGATAATGAGTGTTTCAAAGTTCGTTTATTATCTTTATAGTATAGATAGTGTATTGAAAGTTTGTAATGTTTCATGAGTGCTGTGTAAATAAATGTTTGAACAAAGCACTGATATTCTTTTTATCTGAATAGAGATACCTGTAGTTTCTCAAAATGAAAAACTCTTGTCCAATTCAACCGACCTTGTAGGTCTCACCGTTTCCGTTTCTTTGAATTTGAATAAAACAAACTCTGTGTGGGATATCGTCGAAATGTTTGATTCGTGTAACACGTTCAAATGTCCGCCACGTTCAATTTTCCATGACTGGCGCATAAATCAGGCTGAGTTCGACCGATGTCATGGGTTATGCTGGATTTGTGGACCACTTTCATTTGTAGCTTATTTGCATACATTTGCAACTTCATGAAAAAGTCCAAGCAGGTCAAATCTCACGATCTCGGTGGCCAGTTCACAGCACCTCTACGTGAGATGACCATGCCCTCAAATCGCTTGTGCAGAATATCCAATGTGACATGAGCTGTGTGGCACGTGGTGCCGTCCTGTTGAAACTGCATTCGCTGTTGTAGCTATAATGTGTCGTTGGTGTCCAAATTGGCCAAAAGAAGTTGGTAATCATCGACCTATAGCGCTCGCCGTTGACAGTGTTGGCCTGGCCAACATCGTTCTCTAAGAAATATGGGCCGATGACGCCGCCAGCCCAAAATCAACACCAAACAGTGACTTTCTTGGATGTAGTGGACGCTCTTGTGTCTCACGTGAATTGGTATCGTCCCAAATATGACGATTTTGTATGTTCACGTATCTGTTGATCCAGAAATGGGCCTCATCACTTTGAATCATATTTATTGAAAATTAGGGTCAGTCGCCAACTGATCCTAATTATGGTCAATGATATTCCATAATTAAAAATCGGAATTTTTTCAGAGTATTTCATTCCACGATAAAGTTATCATTGTTGAAATCCATATTCTGGTTTGCTTTCAAATAATCGAATTAGATTTCAAAATGTATCTTCCGTTTCGTTCAAAACTTTTTTTTGTACTGAATCACGGGTAATTGAAAATATTTTAATATTTCATCTATAGTACAAAATTTCGCTAACACTTATAATTCTTAAAATATGTTTTTTATTTTAATATTCTTATGAACAACCTATCAAGGAGGTAAAGTATAGCGCCATCTGCCCGCGAATAGATCAAGCAATAATGCCGATAATTCTGTCATTTCAGATCCCTAGCATCTAAAGTACATTTTCAAAAGCCAGATAATCAAAGAGGTACGTTTTCTAACGAAAATCATGAAATTTTCCAGGCTCCCCAACCTGTTGAACCATGGAGTGGCATAAAAGAAACGGTAAAAGTTGGAAATGCGTGTATACAAAGGGACATGTTGTTCACTGGAGCAATTATAGGATCTGAGGATTGTCTGCATCTCAACGTTTTTACGAGAACGGTAAGAATATTTCCTTTTGAACCAGCTCTATGATATTGATTCTGCTTGTCTGCCACTGGGAGTTATCATTTTCCGTTTTAATCTCATTATCAGAATAAGAAAATCATGATGATAATTTAGATTGTTATTTCTCGAAGATGAGCCCCGAGTCCGTCGACTTACAGTAATCCAAGACGAGGATTTAAGGACCCTGGTGGAGACTGACCCATCACAAACGGTGCGTGGGAAGGTGGAAGAACTGGGCGTCAGCTCCCATGCGATTTTTGATGGTTTGAACCGTATTGGAAAAGTCGACAAGCTCGAAAAGTAAGAGCCCCACGATTTCAATGATCGGCAGAAATTGTCACGTTTCGAGGTCTGTTCTTCTTTGCTTTTGCGCAACCAAAACGATCCTTTTTTTATCGGATCGTCACGTGTGATGAAAAGTAGATCCTCTACGTCTCTACGACAACATGAGACGTTCAGTGCAATGGTTGGACCCACCAGAACAAGGCTATGGCTACTGTGTGGTGATCTTGTGTTTTAATACACTGCTACAATACACGGTTGCTACAAAAATAGATAGGGGGCTTTTGCGCCCCCCTCCCCACATAAAACGGCTGTAATAACATCACATTTAATTGGTTTTGATTTTTAATCTCGCACCACACGAGTATTTTGTTGAAAATCACTTGCAAAAGTTGAATTTTTTGTGTCACTTCTCAGCTTCCGCAAGAGGACTCCACATTGAAACCAGTGATGGTGTGGATACACGGCGGAGGCCTAATTCAGGGATCGAACGACATCAAAACGTCTGGCCCTGAATACATCATAACCGAAGACGTAGTCCTAGTGACCATCAACTATCGCCTGGGTTATTTGGGATTCTTGAGGCTTAAAGACCCCTCGCTGGAAGTGCCCGGAAATGCAGGACTGAAGGATCAAGTGTTGGCTCTCAAGTGGGTGCAGAGGAACATAAAACAATTCAACGGGGACCCCAACAACGTCACGATTTTCGGTAAGTGGTGGTCTTAATGATTCTAGCTTATGATCACTTTTGTTATATTGCACAGCTACTTTTTTTCGGCTCAACTAATCTCCGGTAACCCCGGCTACTATAATAACTACAACAATAGTAAAACATAGTGAATAGAAAATACATTAGTATATATTATACCAATAATAAACATAATTGAAGAATTTCATGGTTGGTTCATAGATTTTTTTCAACTTCAGCAGGTTGAGAGTTACTTATTTCGACTCTTATTGTTGGATCCAACATTTTGTTTATTGCTGTGATGTCAATTCTTCTAATGCTATCATTGGACGCTGTAAGTTGACTCATCATAAACTTCGAACTTTCAGATAATGTGGTGGCTATTAGATGACGAATGGTGTGTCTAATGTTTCTCAGAAGTTGACCAAATGTACAAGATCCCAAAACGCGAGGAAGGGTTTCAGTCTCAGTATAATGTCTGCACTGGGTTCCGTCTTGGGATCTCCCTGCTATTCCTCGCTAGTTCTCCTCCTTTCATTTCAGCAGCTTCTTTCCACTCAGATGTTGTCACGCCCTCTTGAGTCGTCACCCGAGAATTTGCTAGAGTGTACTGATCATAAAGTTCCACACCTCTTTCTTTCATTTCCAAATTCTTCCGGTTGTTATATCCTCATTCCCAAAGAGTTCTTCCCAAAGTTGTCATTGTAGATAACTATATTCAGTTTTTTTAACATGTGTTAGCTTCATCAACGAAGGATCTTATTTCTTCTAGTAGCACATTGCGTTGAGATCTGAGTTTCTTAGTTATATTGAAGCTTTGAGGAAGCGCTTTCTATGATGCTCTAAAGACACCTAGAACTTTCACTTTTGGAGGAAGACATAACCAACTCTCGGCTTCAAGATCCTAGTGACGACAGAATTGTGTCGTTTTAGTTCCTGAAATTATTTGTCCTAAAAGTTATTGCCTACGCGAGTTACTTTGTAATCAAGAGGGTCGTTTTCAATGGACCGATGGCAGATGCACTTAATGAAAGAACCTATAAGTCGTGTCGTTTATTTTGACTTACAGATTTCCTAAAATGGGAATTGTAGGAAATCTGTAAGTCCTGAAAATCATCGTTCCGTCGGAGTTCATTACGATCACTTGAGGAAGGCAGGTTATGTCAAATTTCCACCGCAGCTCGTCGGAAATGTTGCTTTTGAACGGTACGGCACATCAAGGGCCTTGTTTGGAAAAATCCCGCGTGAAAGCTTTTCAGTCGGTGTCGGAAGACACGTAAATTATTTCCATTCCAGCGTTCCTGCTCTGATTTTCCTCGTACAGGTTCTTCAGATTTTTAACGAGATCGTCTGTCCTAACCCACGAGGCGGAGAAAGACAAAATGACGATTTTCGTGTCCTTCAGGTAATCGGACGTGTTCTAAAAAAAAACTAATAAATAGAGTGTATTCTATGATTTTCACTATAAGGGTTTTACAAAAACCGCGACACGTGTTTCACTATTCAATAGCTTCTTCAAGCATAACAGTTATGCTTGAAGAAGCATGAGGTGCCATACAGTTATCTCTTACAGGAAGTTTCGATCTAAGAGATCTGTTCTGCAACAGGATAATTTCTGTAGTTGAGTAAATATAAATCTAAGTCATTATTTTCATGGTGACATTTTTTTAACATGGATTTCATCAACCCTACTGCTTTTTCTGCAAGACCATTACTTTTGGGATAATAGGGACTCGATGTCGTTATGATAAAATTCCACTGGTCTGAAAATGTTTTAAATTCAAAAGAGCTAAATGGTTTATTGTCAGCAACTATCATTTTGGAGATTCCATAAGAGGCAAAAATTGGCTTTAGACACTCTATTATTGACGATGATGTTTTGTCTTTGTTTTGTCAACCCATCTAGAATAGTAGTCCACTATGAATACAACATGAGTATTCAGTTCAGAATAGGAACAGGATGTAACAACCAGCGCGAGGTTATTAGTTACAAAGATGTTACCAACTTAACATTTACCAACCTAACAGACATTAACTCAAGTCAAACGCTTCAGGGACTTTTAAAGAACTACACTCATTCTTATATTTGCCTTGAAAAACTCATATTTTTCCAGTTCACTTGGAACTAGATATGAAGACAAGTTTCTAAAACATCTTCCGTAACACTTGAACACTTCCCGTGAAGGTACAAGTGAGAGAGCCCCGTGAGAAACAAATCTCTAACCTTTCTTCGATGTCCCAGGCTATGAAGGTTGTACCCCAGCTAACCAGATGACGTCAAATATACGTCGTTTTTACGCCACCAGATCACTAGGCTGACGTCACCAAATGACGTATTTATGACCTCTCAATCACGTGAAAAAGTCACAGGCCTTTGACGGCAGTGCCTGACGGTTATTATCTGACATCCGCTGACATCTTGGTAACGTCATACTGACTTATATGACGTCTTAGCAACGTCGCACTCACGAATATGACGGCTTGGAAACGTCACTCTGACGTATAGTTTTTGTCATATTTTCGTTATTTACACTGCACTGTTTGGAACCTTTTGTGTAGTAATGAATGCACTGGAGTTTTATCCCAACACCAAACCGATATTTTTAACACGTGTCAAGGTGTTAAAAATTGTGTTGGTTTAACTCCAGTGTATTCATATTTATGATGACTTCAGAACTCCTGTACTTTTGGAACTTCAAATTTTTAATAATTCTCATGTGTCCAAGGAATGATTGTTCAGCTGAAGATAAATGAAAATTGGAAAACAAAAAGTATGGACTTGACTACATTGTGGAACATGCTAAATGACATGTCAGATGTCATTTAGATGTCATTTAACAGGTGGCCAATAAACTTCTTTCTTCCTAGGGGTCAGCCAAGATGAAGAACAACAGCCAGACCACCTTCTTCAAATTCGATTACATAAAATGGCATCTTGATTTCTAGAGATCTCAATTACAATCTTGAGTTCTATTATCGGCTGTTGCCCACTCACCTGGTTCTATGCCGGTAACGTGAATTCGAACAACACTGCTAATCTCTCTCGTTCGTGCACTTTTGATAACATCAATGTATTGATAATATTGATACTGATCAGAACCAGTATAATAGAACTTTTATCTATGCAATGCACCTGATACTTAAACAAAACAACGCCATTTTGACAGCTGGGAGCGTGGAATTTCTGCACATGCGCCAATTTAAAGGCAGTTGACTGTCAAGAACAACTCTCTTAGTGTTGTTTCTCTCTTACCTCCTTTATTACTACCCTAATTGGAAATAATCGTATGTCTTTGTAGGGTATAACTCTCCATTGGCCAAAGGTAATACCGGTTTATTTAAATGTGCCGGTAAACCAAGAAAATACAGAATAATAATAACAGAATACACAAAGAATCTTATTCAGTGATATCATATACAATATATAATTTTTGTGATGGTTATCACGTAGTGCTCTTGTAATATTTGATCCAGCACAAATGAGAACTCTCTTATTTATTCATTATCTCTTCATATATAAAAAAAATATTCCCGAAATAATATGTTTTTCGACACAGAAACATTGGTCATGAAATGACTGAGTGAAGAAGTTGAACCGACGTCAAAATATGACGTCGTAGGAAGATCACAGAAATGACGGCTTTTTGACGTCATATTTTAACGGATGACCAATATGACGAATAATGACCTGAAAATGACGTATTTCTAACGTCATCATTTGTTATCTGGTTAGCTAGGACGTAATGTACTGGTCTCCAATCAGGCGGATGACTCTTTTCTGGATGGAATCCAACAACTTCAAGGCAAGTTTTAGGACAGAGCTCCATACATGAGAATAATATTCCAAAGAAGGTGTGATCTGAGCTTTGTTAAGCATCAACAGTTGCTGAGGTGTGTACAGTTTCTTGGTTCGGAACAGTGTTTCCAGCTTTTAAGAAACAGCCTTCGCAATTCCAGCGACATGATTGTGCCAAGATATATTAGTGTCCATTTTAATCCCCAACAAACTTATCGAAGCAGGAAGAAGATTGTCTGATCTGACATTATTATACCCAGCTCGAAGACATTTATGTTCTTGGAGAAAACCGATGCCTGGGTTTTTGTGGCACTGAATTGAACCTGGTTAAGTATAATTTCTCAATAATAAACATCCCCTGGAGGGGACAAATCCGAATGCACCTCAGTGGATGTCTAATTAACTTCACTCTTATAGACAAAAATGGGAACTATTTTATCGATAGCGACTTGAGGATTTTTATGTGGTTCTTGTATTTTGTCCTTGAAAATTATATGAAGAATAATGGTTTGAGAAATGAAAGTTTTCATGAATCCAACCGACTGCGCCATGTCTTATTCATTCGTTTCAATCCCTCCGTAGAAATATTCTACTGAGAACTAACTGATAATTCATTCAGACACATCTCAACTATACTAAAATACAGAAAGATTTAACGTAATTCAATATAATATACATATAATATATTCTATTTAGATTATAAAAAGCTGAATAGGCTCTACACAGCTACACAGAAAAACTTTTTTGATAAACTATCATTCCTCGTTTAGGGGAAAGTGCTGGAGGCGCTTGTGTCCACTCTCACATCTTATCACCTGCCTCGAAGGGTCTTTTCCACAAGGCCATTCCACAGAGCGGTTCGGTTTTGAACCCTTGGGCCTTGACGAATCATAATACATTCGAATTTTTTGATTTTATGGAGAAAGGCATCAAAGACGAGAAGACTGCTTTGGACGTTTTGAGGAACATGCCTGTCAATGAGTTGTTCGATTACCAAGACAGATTTTTGCTGGTAAGATTATTTTTGGTTTAATTGATCGAGTCAAGTAAAGGGTAGCCACATCAGAATAGCATTTTCGGAGATCCCTTCAGTTGCTAGGCAATGAAAACTCACTTATTCTCAGAGATCGTTGAAGACTTGTTTAATGTTTTCAACTGTTTTATTTGTTGAGCATTCATACTTATGATAGACCAAATTTCATTATATTTATTCATTAGGTTCAACCCCCGCTTGGGGTCATAGGTCTTGTGATAGAAGAACCAAATCCGACTGCGTTCCTCACCAAAGATCCCATGGAAGTCATTATTTCCGGAGACTACAACAAAGTACCGATGATTTGGGGCTACACTTCCAACGAAGGAATGCTGTTCGTGCCTCTCCAAGAAATGTCCAAAAAAGGAAAGGCTTTCAAGGTCGACGAACAACTCAACTTGGAAGATTTCGTGCCACCGAACATGAAATTAGAAAGAGGTTGTTCTACAAGTCAGGAAATATGTAAGAAAATTGCCGATTTTTACTTCAAAGGAGAAAACGCCATGAACAAGTTGTTGGTGAGTTCAGCCATTAACTCTTTATTAATTTTTATAAATTTTCCAGTTGGAAACAGTAAAACTTTGCACTAAAAAAACAACTTTCAAAGTGATAATATTTAAAGCTATTGATCTAAACCAGTGGTCGGCAACCTCTTCAATGTGTTGAGCTACTTTGTTAATTTTGGAATAAACAGCGAGCTACCCACACGGAAGTCACGTAACGCAACGTAAATGAAATAATCCACAGTTAATTTATCATTATATGTATTTATTTTACTATTTAACTGGTAATACATAATACATAGGTACTAATAATAAACTAATAACAAAATAACTAATATTACTAGTACGTATTTGTTCATAGCTACATTCCTACCTATCAAACGAAGGTGTTTGAAAAATAAACACAAACTTTTATCCAGCCACAACGGCATGTCACGTATGATTTAAAAATAGTTAATGATAACAACAAAAAAGTAACGCACTATCATGAACATAAACATTGAAAAATAAAAAAGCACGTTCAATGAGGAGGCTGACACTCAGACTCATCGATAATTTTTTTTAAGTTTGCACTATAATTTGATGCAGCCATTCGAATACAATTAGCCAAATGTTCATCTGTAAGTCGATTGCGATATTTCTTCTTAATAAACTTCATATTGGAAACAGTAGTAACAGAGAAATTGCGGAAAAATTTCATCTTTACGACATAACGCCACCAGACCCTTATCACAACCCACCATAGCTGGAGCGCCATCGGTTGTCAAGCCTACCATTTTCGATACTGAAATTTTCTCGGAAGAAATAATATTTTTTAAATGAGAACTGAGAACGATGCTCCAATTGCAGCCTTATTTTTGTCGACTGTTCTTAAAAATATTGATTGTTGTCCAATTAACTGCTTTTTTAACTGTTTCGGTTTCTCCTTTCTGGCGGCAGAATGTAGTGGGAATGATTTTTCAAAATTAGAATATACAGTTTTATGATGTCTCTCAATATTTCCTTTTTTAGCAACGGAGACCGAAGTATTACATAACAAACACACATTTTTATCTTTAACTTCTGTAGAAAAGTATTGTTCTTCCCATTTCGAATGAAAGTGGTATGTCTTTACCTTCTTACAACTGCTTGCCATAGTATTATTTTTGTTGTTCTCTACTAACCCAACCGCTGGACGTTGGTTACGCGTTCAGTTTTAAACTAAGCGCAATGTCGCCGCGCCGTGCGTATTTATCCCGTTCAAAGCAATCCAGATCGTTCTCGAACACTAACGCGCTGGTCCGGCTGGTCGGTTCTAGCCGATTCTATCTTGATGGCGTCAGCGGCAGATCGTTCACCGCAACGTTGCCGCTGTTTATGTTTAATATTATTACAATTAGATTTTTTTGTGGAATTTTCGGAAGCTCCTCTGATTTTTGCAGTTTGTATTTTTTAAATTAAAATCGTTGTGAGAGCTACCAGAATTGCCTCCGCGAGCTACCGGTAGCTCGCGATCGACAGGTTGGCGACCACTGATCTAAACTGTTCATTTCAGAAAGTTTTTGTTAGGAATATTTTATTTCGAGAATATTTTAAAAGGCAGCTTTTATGTCACCGAGTGACTTAGGCTAATGACCAAACCGCCCGATGCCGTTATCACAAGAAAAAGAGTAACTTTTGCTTTAATACCTCTCAAAAAAGAATACCACGAGTGTTTGTAGAAAAATCTAATCATTGCTTGATCCTCAGAGTAATAAAAAATAAGTGGAGATGCCCTCCGTTTTGATTTGTAGACAACCAGGATATCCATCTCTCTCACAGTAAAATGTGGACGAGGGGACTGAGGGAATTGTTTACATAATCCTCTGGCTGGATCCAGGGGCGTGCGGAAAATATGTTGAGAAAATTCTAATGACTATCAACTATTAATTCGATCGAAAATTCTGGGTTACGCCCATGCTCCATTTGTTGTTTACCTGTCAAATATTACATCAACATGCGAAGATTGCGAAAATCCACAAACAACGCAGGTTTTCACCGTCTTCAAAATTACTTTTTGCACTACAAATTAATTATATCGGGCAATACGCACTCAAATCACCAAAATAACTTCCAAAAACGACGAAATACCGGTATTATATATTTCTGTTAGTTGGAGGACTGTCGTAAACATAAAACAAAGTAATTTGTCTTCAGAAACAAGGACATGAAGGCATCTCTATTTATATCATTACTCTGAGGCTTGATCTCATTGAATTTTTTATCAGGACTGGCCCGTCCATTTGAAGTCGCTAAAGTTTGTTTATTAGAATTGAACAATTTTCGAGAAGAAGAAGAGCGTTACCACAGCCTTTCAAAAATAAGAAGAAGAATTGAATGCACAAATTATTTAGTTTATTAGTACATCCAACTATTTTTATATTCATAAAAATTAAATGACTTGGAAACAAATCATAAATTATTGATTTTTATTTTCAGTTGATAAGCGATTACTATTTCGTAATTGGCATCCTAGCGTCTATTATTAATCATGCAAGGACTTGTCATTATCCAATTTTCTTGTACCGGATGAGTTGTGAAACCAATTTGAATGCATCGAGGGTGCTGTTCAAATTGCAGGATATACCAGGTATAACTTGTTTTTTACTTTGTTGATGAACTATATTATTGTTATTATGATTCTCTTGATTGTTATTAATGTTTTTCATGTTCATCATGGCAGTTTTCATTGTATTTTAACAGCAACAAGTAAATTTCTCTCATTCACATTACGTAGAAATAGAAAAATTAGATTGTGAAAGATCAAAAGATTCATATGTAATTATGCATGTGGAAAAAGCGGACTGTATGTAACATCTCGAGTTGTTACATTGGTGTAAACATTTAGGGTTAGGTCAGACGCAGTGAGCTATTGAAACTCGTTTTAAGAAACACATGGCACATGCGATTTCGGAGGCCAGGCAAATCTAGCGTCGCTCAATACGCCTGGAAAAACAATCATTGAAAATAATGAAAACCATCCAAAATTGTTGATGTGACACTGAACTTTTGGTTGATTTCGAAAGACTGCAATGAACTATTAACAGTGACGAAGGTCCTATTCAAAACAGCTCATTGACAGTCCCACATAAAAAAACAATAAATGAATTTACACTTTTTGAACTCATAATTCATGGCTTTTGCCCACTATACGAAATGCAATTTAATAGATGGTATCCGGTAAAAATTCAGTTTGGATCACATGTAATTTCTCTGAGTTGGCTACTCTGTCATTAGTGTCAGCTGTCATCTTTAGATGATGTATGTAGTTTCAATTTTTGGGATTTATATGTTGTTTAAAAGCAATGCTCATTGTATTGATTTTATCATCTATATAAATGAGGATTTTGTCTACACATGTATTTTTTTCTGTGTTGGCTACTCTGTGTATTTGTCATTAGTGTCAGTTGTCATACTCAGTTCATGTTTGAACGATCAATTCTTGAGATTCATTTGTGTTTTGATTGTATTAATTTTTCCAATTGTCATAATGATAAAAATAAACATAGTAATCAACTCAGAAAAATGTATGCGCTTTGAATACCGTGCATTAGATTTTTTGTGTTTACAGTGTTGCCTACATAAATAATAACAGAGTAGTATTTCATATTTTATAAGATGAAATTTTTGTTTCTGTTTCTTTGAACATTTGTTGTGAGTAACAAGGTGCTTCATGAAAGAGGCGATGGATTTATTGAGGAGAATAAATACATTGGAATATAATTTATAACATGTTTTATAAATGTTGAAAAAATGAAAAGTGAAAATTAGTGATGAAATGAAAACTTCCAGCTAGAATAATTGATTTGATTGATTGATTGATTTTCAGGTGTTTGTCATGGGGATGATGTCGGTTATCTATTTAAAAACAGTTTCTTTCCTGACGTGGAAATCGGAGAAATCGAAATGGTTTGTCTGCGGAGGTTCCTGAAGTTATGGACGAATTTTGCCAAGTATGGAAATCCGACGCCAGAGAAAAACGATTTAAATATTCAGTGGAAACCTGTGGATGGAGAACACGTGAATATCTTGGATATCGGAAAAGAACTCGTCATGGAAACTAATCCCGAAGATGAAAGTGTTCGTCTGTGGAAGGATATTTATCAAATGAGTCCTGCTACTGCAAATTATTTGTGAAGATATTACTTCTGTTTTTATTGTTCTGTGATTGACCAAACTATTATATTATATTATTTCCTTATCTTCCATATACTCTTAGTTAAAGCTTAATTCAAAATACATTCATTAGAAATTAAAAAAATGCTCTTATTTTTTATGAAAAGCGTGATCATATTTTTTTAATAATAATAATGATTTATTTTCCCAAGAAACACACAGTGTTTATAGCAGGAAAAAAACAATAATTCAACAACTAACTATAACATAACTAAGTACGAACAGAGCACCAAAAAAAAAGATGAATCGGAACAGAAATTCGAAAAAATATAAGTATTTATTCATACATATATAAATATATACATGTTATGTGGTTTTCAATTATGGACGAATTTTGCCAAGTATGGAAATCCGACACCAGTGAAGACCGATTTGATTATTCAGTGGAAACCTGTGGATGGAGAACACGTGAATATCTTGGATATCGGAAAAGAACTTGTCATGGAAACTAATCCCGAAGATGATAGAGTTCGTCTGTGGAAGGAGATTTACCAGCTAAGTCCTGCTAGTGCAAATTATCTGTGAAAATTTTACTTTTGTTTTTATTGTTCTATTATATATTAGGCTTTTCTTATGCTTCCTTTTATGGCTCGAGATACATTTATTTGTAGTTAAAAATAACTTGCAACAGGTGATGATCTACTGTATTGCCAAACATGCCCCAAACTAACTGACTGTTATAAGAAAACAAGTATATCTGAGGCACCAGTCAACCTCATAATAACACTGATGATCTTCAAACTTGACTCAACCTTTATAATAATATTATTTTCACCCTACCCATTCAACCAGCGACGGCTCGTCAGAGGAGGCAAGGGAGGATTAGCCTCCCCATAAAATTTGAGGCTATTCATCGCAATAAATTAAAAGATATTGACGAATAATTATGATTATTTTTTTCTAAAAATGCTTGGGTATCATTACTTTACCATTTATTTTTAATATAAATACTTAATATGCCCGAAAAAACACTATCACTATCACTACGTAGTACGTATCACACTGTATCCAGCATCAACAAAACTCAAACGCACCGCCCATGAACGAATAACGAATAAACTATCAACCCGAAATAATAAATGCCATACGTTGCAATGGAGCCAAGCCTCCGATCGCTTTAAAAAACACAGGCTCCACAAGACCGATCCAACCAGCGACATACGTCCCGATTTGTAATTTCAGTTGCAGAAATTATAGCGTCAGAGGAGGCTTGCCTCCAGTTGGTCCTCGTTAGTGTACGAATGCATTTGTTTTTTATTTAATTATTCGGACGGGATACCGTGACGGACCAGAACTAAAAAATATTCCGGTAAATCGTTTTAGTGTTTCTTGATAATATTTGTTATTTGTGTATAGAACAGGCAGTATTATATTACAGCAGTGCTTTTTGGTAATATTTTTAATGTGTTTTCGAAGTGTTTTCTTTCAATTTCAAGGTGTTTTCAGGTTTTCACTTTTCGGTAAGTTTTTTTTCCATTTATTATGGATAAGTTGGACGAAATTAAAAAATCTGACGATATAGTCGATTGGTTGCTGACAAATAATTTTAAGTCTTTATCTTATGATAATAAAATTTACATTATTAAAACTCTGGGAAGGCCTCAACCAAATTTGATTTCAATTAAATCGTCAGATAATCGACAAAATCGTGGCTTTAATATTAGTTGGTACGATAAATGCGATTGGTTAACCGGCTCCATTAAACAAGAAAAACTTTTTTGTTGGCCCTATGTTTTATTTTCCGTACAAACCGAATACCAAACGTGGTCTAAAATAGGATAGGTACTCCGATTTAAAAAATTTACTTCGTGTAATGGGGCAAATATGATTCACAATTTGGCACTTTTTTAAACGGTAGCATTTTTTCGGACACCTCAAAAACCATCCAAAATGAGCTCATTATAGACAGTGTGGCATATATTATTAAGGAAAATATAAGCAAGCAGATTGAAAGTGTTTCTTTTTTTGCTTGGGAAATTGAGGATGTTTCATCTGGGCTGACGATTTGTTTAATTTTTTATTTCGTACGTGTGACACCTATAATTTTAGGCAAAAGTTGATTGCGCAAATCTATGATGGGGCTGCGGTCATGGCCGGCCATTTAAATGGTTTACAAACTAAAATAAAGTCCATAGCTCCTCATGCACTTTTTACGCATTTTCATGCCCATGCCCTAACTTTAGTATTAAGCAAAGCGTGCAACAACATGAAAATTTTCGCGCTTCCGGCGGGCTTTTCTGTGTGTATATAGTCCTTCCCTGTTCTCCAATGCACGAGCCGTCACTGCATTCAACAAAGATTATGATCAACAAAAACATCATTTAAGGATTTTTTTTTTGTAATATGCAAAGAGAAAGAACGTTATAATCATTTAATGAAATACAAATAAATAAACTTAGAGAACTATAAACAAGACACAAATTACAAACGGAGAAACCTCGAGTGGATTTATTCAAGTAATATAAAACAGACTCGCCCTAAAAAATCTAGGGCAAAATACCAAAGACGAGATTACATAACAACGACGACAATAGAACGTGAATGGCTTAATGCGCCTCAATGGAAGCAAAAACCATTAACATAGAGAGAGATAGTATGTGAAGCGATAAATTTTATTGGCGCACTGGTAGTGCGAACGACTCATGATCAAAAGGTCGTAAGTTCAATCCCCACCTCGAACAGATATTTTTCTAGAGAGAATGTATCTAATTAAGGTTGAAATGATTCTGCAACGTTACATAATTTACGGACTGCGGCTAGCCATGATGTTCCCTAGATGGCTCTAGGAGTTATAAACATTGCACCCCAGAACACGAGACTAATGACCAGAGTAGCCGATGCCGTTGACAGCAAAAAAATTCTGTTTAACGGTTCGCAGTTGACATACAAAAGTCGTTCTGATTGGAGTAACCCAGACCCAGACCATTCGTACATACGGAATCGAGGTCAATGCCTATTCCAATCATAAAGAGCTCAAAGAGCGGTCTTTGTAACTAAGTCTATGAAAATATAAACGTCTCAAATTAAGATGCGTGGTGGTCGTAGACGGACGTGCTGATAACATCCGTCAACAAAGAAGGTACGCGGATGCTATGTGCCATCGCGGGGCTTCTCTTTGTGTTGTAATTTTCCGTTGTGCAGTCTCCAATATGTGAAATTTCAGACAAAAATATGAAGTGAGGGCCTCCTTCACGCTGGGGGGCCATGTATCTGAAAAACTCGAAGGTATCTTGAGGAGGAGGTGACTCAAAAAAACGAAAAAAAAAATATACAAAAAACTCACGGTGGCAGCATTGCTTCGAGCAAGACTGCGCGCTCCCCTATCAACTACTAATAGGGGAGCCTGGCTAAATGTGCCCGAGTGGGAAGCAACGGCTATTAAAAAAAAAAGGAAGAGAGAAACGTCACAAACATGACACAAGTCATAATCTACTAACCTATAATTCAATATGGAAATTTTAAATGAATTATTTCGAATGGTACCATTGTAGATAACGCCTGGTTCTGCAGTCACCGTAAGATGGTTTCAACTTCAAAAAAATTGTTTCTGCCAATAACACGTCGAAATGCTTCGAGTAGTTTCATATGACGAATATCTTGAATGGTGAATACCTTTCATAGTGATAGAGAAAATGGTAAAGTCCGTAGTTCTAGTGTTCTTTAAAAAAGAAACCATTTCTTCGTTTTTTGTGTACGAATTAACCAATCTGGGGTATGAAGTTGATAAAGTTTTTATACAAGAAGAAAGCGAAAAGGTAGTAACTGACCAATTCACCTCGCTATCAAGACACTACGACATAGTTATCGCGGTATTTGACGTAAATAATCGCATTTTAACGAAAGCCCTAGCCAATATTTGCGGCGAAGACAGTAAGAGCTTAGACGGATTACCATCAGCCTCGAAGAAACTCATCAACGGAATTGTTCATCCTGTAATATACTTACACAGGATTTTCATATTGAGAAAGGACGTTGCAGAGAAGCAGTTTACGGAGTTACTAAAACCGCATTTGGAGACTTATGCTGCTAGAGCAAAGTTCAGCAAGGTGGTGCATCTCCAGAAGAATGGAAATACTAGCAGTATATTGAAGAAACTCAACGAATTGGTGTCTGTGCAATTGGAGGATTTGCAAGAGCTGTCGAGAATAACAATCACGCACGAAAACTTCGAGAACGTCGTAGAGGGTGAACAGTTGCTCAAGAAAGAGTTGCACGACAAATTTGTAGAGTCTTACGAGGAGAATGATGTTCTCGAATGTATTTATAGAAGTAAGGAAGCCTACATCCGCCGAGCCTTAGAAGTAAGTAGTTACTTTCATACTAGGGTTCAAAAAATTGATTGTTCGAAAAACATAATTCTCTATACAATTTTCAGAATTGACCGAAAACTACAATGCAAATGAAGTGATTATGATAATAATTCGAAACACCTTACAGATAATTTTGATTATTCAGGCTTGATAACAAAGATTAACATAGATAGGTTATTTTCAGTACTGCCGTATTATTTATAAGATAATAAATTGCGTTCTCATTTTTTTATTTCAATTTGAGACGATTTACAGGAGTTTAAGCAGCAGAAATTCCAATAATCTACGGCATTCAAACCTGAAAAATAGTGACCCTGAAAACCTTGGCAGTGAAAGCCTTAACTAGATTGACAGTAAATAGACAATAAGAAACAAATAAATAAAATTGAAGTCATGAACATAACACTCCAGTATAAATTATTCAAGTATATCTTCGTAGTTATAGTAGCATTTTTAACTAAGAAAAGATTTGGACCGTTCACAAAACACATCATGAAGTTTGGATTTCTCAATCGAAATTATCAGTTCATTATAGAAGATGATGGCATTATAAAGAAACATTTTTTTATATTTGGTTGTTTTGTGACTGGGTATTCTTAACGGATTGCCATGACGTGTGCAATGGTCATGAGAAAAACCATCGGCCAAAGGGTGGTATAAACTAAGTAGATAACAGCTGAAAGTAATCTTTCGGTTTTTCCTATATTAGCTATAAATGTCTTTATATTATGTATCATCTATAAAAGAACTAAAGATATTATATTTCACTCTACTTTGTTTGAATAACATTTATCAAATTGTTCATGTGCCATTAAGGTGTTACTGATAAACTTCAATGTATTTGCATGTCTGACTTTTATCACTGAAATTAAAAGATATCAGTAGTCAATTCCTGTTGAATTTCAATAAAAACTTGATTATGTACATAATTGTTTCATGATAACCAAACCTATTTATAACTGCTTGGTATAATAATAATAATACTTATTGATTTATTTAGGACATTCTAATATACTTACATTANAGATGAACTACACAATTATGATACTAGACAGAAAGGCAAATATTGCGTTCCCTTCAGACGCTTAAATATTAGCTTAAATTCACCTACTGTACTTGGCTTAAGACTCTATAATCGACTTCCACAAAGATATAGATCCTTTTCAAACCGGAAATTTCTTATTGAAGTGAAAAAGATACTAATTGATCTGTGTCCCTACTCCCTAGAAGATTATTATGAATTAATTTTTTAAAGAACAACCTGTAAACATGTATTATTTCACTATCCTATGTTAATTGTATTTTGTCTGCAATCCTTGTTATGCATGTACATAATTTATTTTATTTTATCATTTTACTCACTGTACTTTGTTGTATGTCTATATGTTTTTTGACTTGTCCTATAGCTGTATTTGCTCGAATGGATAAATAAAGAATTGAATTGAATTGTAAACCTAACCCAAAATACTCGATTTCAGGTTATAGAAGAATGCTTCGAAAGTTACGGTGCCGAGAACATCTTCCTCAGTTTCAACGGCGGCAAAGATTGCACAGTCCTACTGCACCTGGTGTACACCGTTTTGAGAATGAAGTACCCCAACTACAAGAAACCGATATTGTGCCACTACGTCAAAAGCGAAGATACTTTTTCAGAGCAGGACAGGTTCATATCTCAATGCCAGACTTATTACAATCTGGACATCATCAGTGTCACTCTGGAAATGAAGGAAGCCCTGGGTCAGTTGCTCAAATGCAGGCCAAACCTCAAAGCGTGCCTCATGGGAACCAGAAAGACAGATCCTTATTCGGGGGAGCTGAGCGTTTTCCAGGTAGGTTTTACAGATTTTCTAACCAGGATCGATTGAAAACATTAGTAAATATCGCTCCACTTGGGCAGTATAGATTTTTGGTCTGATCCACTTCCGTCTTAATAATTTTGTTGAGGTGATTGTACTCATTTGTTTACCCATCTGATTTTGATCAGTAAGATGTGAAATATTGTCTTCTGCAAGAGTATTTTTTGTCTATCCAAAATGAAATCTTCATATAATTTTTTCATATTTATGGGGAAGTAGAAGAGCAGAAAGTCCAATAATATAATCGACGCATTCAAACCCAAAAAAAATGTCGCTGAAAACCTCAGCAGCGAAATTCCTCACCAGATAAACAGTAAATAGACCAGTGGTCGCCAACTTGTCGATCGCGAGCTACCGGTAGCTCGCGGAGGCAATAAAAAAAGAAACGCATTTTTCAATGAATCCAGAATGGTTTCAACATGAGGATATACATAACAAATATATTACAAAACAGATTAAAGAAAATCAGGGATGATATTTTATATAGTTCATGAGTTTTTTTTGAATTGGAAAACATTTGTTTAATCTTTCAACGAAAGTGGAAGTTTTTTGTACTCATTTATAAAATAACGACTTCATCGTACTAGTCAAATTAGTTCCAGGAAGGTGGAATTTTTGGGAGCTATTCGCTCTTGTTGAGTTGTTATGAATTTGAGATTTATTTATACAGAATTCTTCAAAATAAGTTGGAAGCAAGTTACGTGTTAGTTTGCTAACTAGTACAGTCTCTGGGAAACAGACAACCTCTGCCATGTACTTAACATGTGTTATATACTGGTATACCTATTCCCTTGTAAAATAATTCTCATTCCACTATTCTGTAATTTTTGTAAAGCCGATACCTCATTGTGGTCAAATAAGTATAAAAGACTAGCACAATAATCAAAATGGGGTTGGATTATACAATTATATAATGTAATTTCTCAGTAGATCGAAAGCTGAGATGAAATTATTAGGAAAAAATATGTTTTCAGTAATTTTTCTGTATATATAATCAAAATGAGCACGATGAAGATCCATACTAATTTCACAAACTGCACCTATTTGATCTTCTCAAAATTTATTTTCAAAAATATCGCATGTTTCGCTATCACAGTAGCTTTTTCGTAGTGGCTGACATACATTCAACATACAATAACATACAGTATGTTATTCACTACGAAAAATCTACTGTGATAGCAAAACATGTTATGATATCTTGGAAAATAAAGTTTGTGAAAATATTTTATATAAGCTTATGAAGTCTATGTTATCACTTGAACAAGAAGCTACATTGTAAACCTAACCCAAAATACTCGATTTGGTAAACAATACTGATTCAAAATTTAACGCCTTTCTTGACACATTGATTTACAACTTTGAAGCCACGTGTCCCATTAAAAACAAAAAATTTTTAAAAAAACCATTGGAAATGAATGGGTAACAAATGAAATAAAAAAATCATCTAAAGATTTAAAACAATTACATTACCTAAGAAAACAATTTCCAATACTTGATCTTGAGTATAAATTTGCCAAAAAACAACATAAAAACCTCTTGTTAAGTACGAAAAGTCAATTTTACATCAATAAAATTCAAAATTCATCAAACAAAAGTAAGTCTACTTGGTAAGACGAGATAGTTTCAGCTATAAAATCTATGCAACTTTCTGCTAATACAGTGATGAAACGTGTAGAAGTGATGAGCAATGATATTTTTTTACAGTTAAGAACTGACTTAGATAACTGTGTTTATTTTTCACTTCAACTGGATGAATCAATAGATGTCGTTGTCACTGCCCAGATGGCCGTGTTCGTCAGGATGGTTTTTAGTGATTTTACGATTAAAGAAGATCTTTTGAAGTTAATTCCACTAAAAGGACACACTACTGGACATGAGTTGTTTTCTCATTTAAAAAATATTATTTTTTCCGAGAAAATTCAAATATCGAAAATGGTAGGCTTGACAACCGATGGCGCTCCAGCTATGGTGGGTTGTGTGTAATAAGGGTCTGGTGGCGTTATGTCGTAAAGATGAAACTTTTCCGCAATTTCTCTGTTACCACTGCACCGTGTTAGGAATCACACGTTAAAATGTAAGACCTCGTTAATCCTTAGCTCGCACAAGTTTCGAATTTTGAGGGTTGTCGTTCGTAGGGGTGCGACAGCTGGTTAACGGAAAAACCGGTTTTAAACAGATTTTTTTAAACAGATTATCCATCAGCAAGCATTATGTGGAAATTTCCTGAAACTAAACAACGTTATGAAACTGGTGGTAAAAATTGTGAACAAGATTAGAGCTCAAGCGTTACAAAGAAGATTATTCAGAACCTTGGCCGATGAAGTTGACTGTCAATACGGGGACCTACTCCTTCACTCTGAAGTCCGATGGTTAAGTAGAGGACGGGTACTGAAACGTTTTAATGATGTCCTATCTGGCATAGTTCAATTTTTCAAACAACGCGATGAACCGACTCCGGAACTAGAAAATTCAATCTGGCTTAGAGATTTTGATTTTCTCGTGGACATTACAGAGAAATTAAACGAACTCAATTTGTGTAACAAGGAAAACTTAACAGAGCCGTTTTTGAATATAAAAAGTAAGATTTTTAAAAAAAGCTCGGACAGGTCGATTTCTAATTAAAGTAGGACACCTTTCAGACTTATCAAATTTTTTGTAGTACGCACCCCCTCGAAGGGGTGCGTCCGACGACCCTTATTTAGATAGGGAAAGTAGGTCGAGTGGCACCTTGTTTTGAAGGTCTTTCGAATACCTTTACAACTCTGTTGAAAGAAAATTTTTTTGACCGAAGACAAGAGTTTTGTGAGGGCATGAGTGAGAGAATAATGCAAAATCCCGAGCTGCTTTATAACATCTGTTTTTTGGACAAAAGCTCATTTTATTTAAATGGTTGTGTGAACCGTTACAATTGCCGTTATTGGTTGGTTGAAAACCCAAGACAATACGCAGAAATATATACCCAACATCCCCAAAAGTTGAATGTCTGGGCCGGAATATTAGGCAATCATATTATAGGTCCATTTTTCATTGATGGAAATTTAACTGGTGATTCTTATTCACAAATTCTTGAAGAGGTAATACAACCTCGCATAGTTGAAATAATTGAACAGGATCCCAGATGTCAAGATGAATTTATTCATTTTCAACAAGACGGTGCACCACCCCATTATGCCCAGCAGGTTCGATTTTTTTTAATAATCATTTTGAAGGACAATGGATTGGCAGAAGAGGTCCAATTGAATGGCCAGCACGATCACCAGATTTAACACCATTGGACTACTTTTTGTGGGGATATTTAAAGTCTAAAGTTTATGCTACACAGACAGCCAATTTGGATGAATTACGTCATAGAATTATTAATGAATGCCGAGCTATAACTCCTGAGATGTTGAATAATGTAAGAGCAAAATTCGAACAAAATCTTTATTGTTGCATGGAGCAAAATGGTGCACATTTTGAACATTTACTCTAAATTTCCTATGTGAGTTACCCTTATTAGGTGTTACTTTTTTGTGTGCTTTAAAAACAATTATTGGGATTTATTAACCCTAAAACAGTTTTTTAAACTTTTCTGTGTCATTAGCATTCAAGGAAATCAACAGGTTGTATTCGTTGTGTAGGTAAGTTTTTAGTATGATTCACTTTTTTATCAGAAGCATAAAATATCCACGTCAATTTACCTGAAATGTAAGGGTGGTAACCAACCCCTTCCCCCGAAAATCTCCTCGTAATAAACAAATAATTCTTACTTTTTTACGAAATCAAATGGACACGCATTAGCAGGTTGTCATAAAAAGCAAAAATTTATTTTTTTTTATGAAAGTTCCGAACGTAAATTGTACCTTAAAAACAATTTGATTTATTTTAAAAAGAGTTGAACTCAATAAAAATACCTTTAAATCTTCAAATTATTTCTATTTAGTTGTTGCTCTATCTTTTCCATTTTCCGAAATTCCTTTAATGGCCCTCCTTGGACACAATGGATGTAAATAGTTATATTTCCGTCATCTGAGTTTGCTTACAATTCAGCTTTCATTTCAACTTGATATTTTTTTGTTTGGCTACAATATTCAGCTCCGTTATCTTTTCTATATAACAAGCTCTTATTCTGTAGATGACGGACCCTGATTGGCCCCAAGTAATGCGAGTGAACCCGATCCTACATTGGCACTACTCCGACATTTGGGACTACTTGCTGTACTACAAAATCCCGTACTGCAAGCTCTACGATATGGGGTACACGTCATTGGGCAATGCCTCTAACACCATTAAGAACCCCAGTTTGGCCTACTTCGATGAGAAACTCGGCGCTGAATCGTACTTACCTGCTTATAAAATGATGAATGAATCAGAAGAGAGGAGCGGGAGGAACGCCCGGTTGTGATATTTACAACAATATACTGGATTTCATTTTGACTTTGTTTTTATTCAATTAGGACCAAAGGTTTTATATTTGTTATCAATAGTGTGGATTTTAATAAATTTACTCATCTGTTTTACTTTATTCACTTTGAAATATGTGTTTCATAAACGTTCAAATGATTATATAGTCGAAGACCTTCATGAATTCATAATCAAATTTTTTAATCATACTGTGTGGGCTTTAATATCCCCCTCGCTTCTGAACTTTAAAACGGAACAAGGCATCGAGGTCGGGCAAAATTCACGTATAAACGAATCATTTTTTGCACTTTTTGATTGTTGCATTAGTCGTCGCCGAGATGGCGCTACCAACTTTTTTTTTGTTCAAATAGAAAAGGGGGTCTTGTGGTAACTCGTTTGATAGGTATTCCATTTCTCTATCCAACATTTTTTTATTTTTGTATATCGGATTAGCCGTTCCTGATTAATTAGCAGTTTTATATTAGTTTAGGGGTTTACAAACAAAACGATACATTTATCATAATTTTAAGAAAAACTGTATTTTAAACTCACTTCAGTTCATCCCCGTAAATGTTCAAATTAGTCACTATTCACTTTCCAGCAATGATCAAGTTTGTTTACAAATTCATTATGGAATGTTTCTGAGATAATTTTGTTAGGAGCTCCTCTTATTCTAACCATTAGCTCTGAAGTAGACTAAGTTTGTGAAAACTCAATATTTCACCAATCCTCAAAACTCTAAGAGTGTCAAATCAGGTAATGCAGCGGGTCATTCTAAGGAACCACGTTTACCTGTCTACTGGTTTGGATAATTGTCATCTAGCCACTTTCAGACCAGCTCGTTGTAATGAAGAGGTACCTCATCTTGATTAAACCTAATGATTGTTGAAAACTCATTCGGGTTTGACAATTTTCCAAACCAGTTGACAAACAAAAGTGAGCCCTTAGAACAGGGGTCTCCAAACTACGGCCCGCGGGCCAAATCCGGCCCGCCAGTGTCATCAATCCGGCCCGCCAGTGTCATCAATCCGGCCCGCGACAGCCAATGATTACCTAATTGTTGTTACTATTGCTGTGATAAGTTGAAGAAGAAAACACAGAATGATAATTACTCGGTTTTATTTACTTGCAAGGTAAAACTTAACGACAGAAATGATGACAAAGAAAACTTAACTCAAGTATCTAAGTTTAAGCATATTAATAACTAACAAATAATTGAAATGAATCACAGTAAAACAAAAAAACTAATGAGATTTATGTAATTGTGATTTCCACCGACAATACTTTGTAGTTGTGGATCAATTTTACTTGTACCAATTATCAAAAGAGATTTAAGATGCTCATCGGTTAATTGAGATCTGTAAACATTCTTTGTGTACTTCATCTTGGAAAACGTTTTCTCACACAAGTAAGTAGTACCAAAAACAGAAAACAACCCACGAGCAAATTTATGCAAATTATCAAATTGTTCCAGTGGAAGACTCTTATAAAATTCCAACAAAAATGAATTTTGATATTTGTTCTTAAGCATATCACTGCACCGTAAATCAATAATTTCCATTTGGACTTCCGGAGACAGGGTTTCAATGTCAGAATCAAAAGGATTTTGAAAAAGCTTAATTTCATTCGCAATGACATCAAATTCTGAAAAACAAGTATCAAAATTTATCTTCAAAGCACTCAAAGTGCTTTGCAATTTAGTGCAATTCAGTCTCTGTAGTGTGGCTGAATATTTCACATGTTTCAAAATGTGTGAAACATTTTTTACGTTAATTGCGATTGAAATAGTATTATTTTCTGCCTGAAGGATTTGATATTGGTGTATAAATCAGGGAGAAGCTGATTTTCTCCCTGCAATCTCAAATTCAGTTCGTTCATATGCTTTGTCAAATCGACATAGAAGGCTAACTTCCACATCCATTCACTATTTTCTAAATCGGCAAAAGGGCGCTGCTTCTCATTTAAAAAAAATTCGATCTCTGCTCGAAGTTCAAAAAAGCGCTTAAGGACTTTCCCGCAGCTAAGCCAGCGTACGGCAGTATGATACGGTAAATCATTTTCTCCAATCTATTGAATAAACTCGCGGAATTGTCGGTGATTCAGCCCAGTGAATCTGATGAAGTTAACAACTGATATGACTGGTTTTAGAACTTCAGACATATCCAATCATTTTCCGCACAAGGACTGTTGATGAATGATACAATGTAAGACTAATGGTTTTGAACCACCATCATTTTATACAGCCTTTGACACAAGCGCAACCACCCCTTTATTTTTACCATACATATTTTTGCCTCCATCAGTTGTTATAGATTACAAATTTCTCCATCGAAGGTTCTTTTTATTAATGGCACTTTCAACTCCCATAAAAATATCTGTCCCAGTTGTCGTGTCGTGAATACTATCAATATCAAGAAGTTCTTCATACACTTTATAGCTTTTATCTACTCCGCAAATAAAAATCAACACCTAAGCAGTATCTGACACATCCGTTGACTCATCCAATGCTAGAGAAAACCACTCTTGATGTCCATTTTTGTCAGACAGTTGTCTTGCACCCTCCGAGCCACAGTGTTTGCTGAAAAACTAACACTTTCAAATAAATTTACCTTTTTGGGGCATATTTCTTCGGCTAGAAGCATTCTTTTATCATTTCTCCATCGGTGAATGGTTTGCCACGTTTTCCGATTTCAAGAGCCACACGAAAGCTGGCGCGAGTTGCAGACTCTTGTTCAATATTCGCTTTGGTAAATAAAGATTGCTGCGATTTGAGTCCGCGTTTCAAAGCTTCAAATTTTTCCTTCCGCAAACTTCCTGTATACTTGGAGTAACTTTGAAGATGTTTCGACTCATAGTGTCGTTTAATGTTATAGTCTTTGAGAACAGCTATGGTTTCATTACAAATTAAACATAGCGCCTTATTACTGGACTCAATCACAAAATACTTAAAGTTCCATTTTTCTTGGAACGTTCTGCATTCAATGTTTTTTTTTTCGCTTCTTTTCCATACTAACAAATCACACATAAAAACAATAAGTCAAATCAAAATACTTTTATTGACGGGTGTTACTTTATTTCACAATAGACAGTTTCGCTTACTTCGCCTTTGAACTCGCAGTTGCGCCGCTAGCCTTTTTATATACAATTATTACTGCCATCTCGAGGTGATCGGAATACACTAGCTAGAACCAGAACTTTCTCGAACCAACGCGGTAATTCCAAATATTTAATTACGTCTAATGCCACCTAGCGGGTAGCTGAAAAAGATAGTACATAGTACCACAACTCGCCACTAGATGTCGGTAAGTGTCACAATACACAATAATAATTGAAATGCAAAAAAAGCGTAAGTTTGCTTAGGTCACGCACTTTGCGACTATCTTAGTCTAGAAATATAGTTAAGGGCAGAAATTGGCCCTTGGAACAAACTGAAAAAATCATTATGGCCCGAAGACTTCAAAGTTTGGAGACCCCTGGTTTAGATCATTTCAAAAATGAACAATCTATGAAGTTTTCGATGACTATTCAAAACATTCTTGGGGTAAAGTATTTTTCACCTGAACTTGGGCATGTCATAAAATATGCATCTCTCCGGAATGTTTATTATTCTAACTCCCACCCCAGAATATGTGTTTGTGGAGTTGTTTACGGACTTTGTCTGCAGATGGCGCAGTGAACATCCTTCTGAATCAACTGCACATAGAAATTATGAATGTCGGTGGCTTATGACTAGTTGGAATTAATTCTGTTTGTTCGGCCCCAGTTGCAAGAGTAAGGGGGCCAGGCTCCAACCTGTTAAAAATTAAGATGGCTGTTTGTTCGGTTCACTCCAGTTTTGACGAGGAGCAAGTACTCCGAAACCGGTTGGTTGTTGTTTTTCCGTCGTGGCTTCAGGCGTGTCTTTACTTCAAGTAAAAGTTTTACAAAAAAGCAACACGTGTTTCGCTATACAATTGCTTGTTCAGGCGTGTATGGGAAAACAGGTATTGTATTTTTTAAAACTGTTTAGTGCAATCTCACATAAATATTAAAGACTTTTTGAAACAGACGTAACACTTCAGTTTTAACAATTTTTTATAATTTCAATTGTAATATTATCAAATCCAGAGGTTTTTTTGTACATCATCCAACTGATGATGATTCAACAAAAAGGCGGGAATCATATCTTGCATTAGAAAGAATTCTCTTTACTTCAAAAATATCAGCTAATGAGAGAAAAGAAGGAGTATACTTTGATGCAAGAAGAGTGTCACAAGAAAGAAACTCTCAGTGGCCTCAATAAAAATACATTTTGGAAAGTTCTTGAATGGTTATATTTCCCCCATTTTCATGCATAAAAATAAATAGGCTGTACATATCTTCAATGAATATCAGTCCAAATCAAATAAATCGAATATCACATTTTCATGAATTCGAAATGAATTCAAATTCGGTCATAAAATTTATCCGAAAGAATGACTGGCATTCATCAATCTATGAAATGGTAATAGCAGTCCGCCTAACGACAGCGCTAAGCAGTTCGTTCTTATCAGGCTGTTCGGTGAGGACCTTGACTTTAACCCACTGCCTGGTCTGGGACGACTGCCTTATTGCACTCAAAACCGCCTGCACATAGAGCCCGTCTTCGAATGTAGCGGCAGAGCAAACAGGTTCCTTTATCCAACCCTCCTTCTCATTGTTTGGCAGGAAAGACTCCCGCAAAGCTGACACCATCTTGCACAAGCCCTTGATGAATATTTTGGGCAGGATCGAGTTGTTAGGAACGGGGCACTGCAAGTCCTTGACGTCCAGGTAGATCACTTCTTCGCTGGCTTTGTGCTTCCTGCCGAACAAGTCGCCCCCTCGAACCACTAGATAATAATAAAAACCTTATTCAGGAAACATATAGTGGTAACACAATACAAAATATGTTTCAAAAAATGTATTATATGAATAGAACAAGTACCCAAGTACTCGATTCTTTAAAGTAATGCACTTATAATAGTGATAACGAAATTCGCTTCAAGTTGTTATCAATATACACACCTAGATGGCCTGTACTGCTGCAGATCATCACATCTTGGTTGAAAGTGGAGCCTACAGTGTGGCTGTTGAGAGTGGCCGTTACCAGAATCCCGTTCTGGAGCTCCATTTGGAAGGTGCAGAAGTCCGGCGCGGATATATTCCTGATTCCGTTGATACTTTCCGTGTTCTTCGTGAACGTCCTAACGACTCCATGAACCTTGACAGCTCTCTGACCAGTTAGGAAAGTTATCAGATCTACGACGTGGCTGCCTATGAGGTTCAACGTTCCTCCGCCCATGGTGTCGTCACACCTCCAGTCGAACGTGTCAGAATCGTTGAACAGACTCCCACTTTGTATGCGGATGTCGATTAGAGTCACGGGGGACTGAAGGTAGTTATCCTTCAGAGCCTTCTTCATGTTAGTAAAAGCCGGCAAGAACCTGAAGGAGTGGTTGATGAGCGATATCAACGAAGGGTAATACTGACCCGCACCCACCATTTTGAGAGCGTCCGCTTGGCTCAGCCCCGCTGGTTTGTCGCACACTATATGTTTTCCTATCCCCAGCGCTTTGACGGAGATCTGCGCGTGCAGATTCGGGGGGCACAACACGAATATCAGGTCTACGTCTTTACGCAGGAGGACCTCGTCTATTACGTCGGTGAAAAAGGGGATCTTGAGGTCTCTGGCCGCTTCTTGGGCGTTTTGTTTCGTTTGGCTCCATATGGCCTCGATTTTGAATCCGTTCTCGCGTAAGATGGGGACCAGGACTCTCACCACTGCTCCTGTTCCGAAGACCCCGATTCCGGGTAACATTTTTGATTTTGTTTATTTATTCAAAATATTGTATACGAATTGACAACTGTCAGAAAACCAAAATGACAACGGTCCGACCGTTTCGGTCATCTGTCAGATGGATATGACAACTATTCAGCTTCCACCAATAGAAACACGCTAACGTTTCAAATGAACCAATAGATGAATGTATTGGAGCAATCGGTGGACTCTGCAATAAATTCAAGAACTCACCTTTCCACAGTGACGTCATAATATAGACTGGTCATTGAAGAGAGAACATTTACTCCAAAAACTAAAAAAAAAAGGTGAATAGATTCATGCTTGGCATAAATGTCACTCATACACATCATATACAATGTAACGATGTCTTACGTGTTGCATATTTCCATTGGCGTGGAAGTCATCTTGAATTTAGACAGGTTGGAGCCTGGCTCCCTTACCCTTTGGACTGATGTTTGCCAGAAGGACAAACGGTCATGACTGATGTGGGTGTTAATGGTATGTCGGCATGAGTGTCCTCAGACATCAGTACCGCCCTTTACGGTGTACCCCTGCCTGGCTGGGGTGAATTGGATGAAAACGTTGTTCATCTTTCAACGGAATATATAGGGGCCTCATTCGACAGAGTATCGTGGCCTTCTATATCGGGAGGGGTCGTCTACAGTATAATACAGTATAATAGTATAATCCCTGACTAATCATATTTCCATTGTGAAAACTATCGGATTTTATTTGTCACATGGTGCTGTGACGGAATGGCTAATACGCTGTGTATAAGCAAGTGGAATATATGCAAAATTGACGTCACGGGCAGTCCATATTATAATGTCTATGCCTTTCCATTACATATTGGGATGCTTGCGTCCAACAGCTACCACCGGTTAAAGCTGCATCTCTGAATCCAGCTGGAAGATACCATTCAATTCGAAAAATGAGAATAAAGGACTAAAACGTAATGAAACTTGTAATTATTTTTGATGCTGTTTTTTTATCGTCAGTGGACAAAAGGTAATAAAGGTATCCGAAGGAAAAATATTTTTTTGTCTCTGTGGCTATTCATTCGTCGTCATAATAGCCTAAAGCTAAAATTCCAGTTCTTTCAATACAGGGAACATTGATGATTTACACAATATTCACAAAAGCAGTTATTTTCATCTGACAGTATCGTTTTGAGTTACTTCGACATATTATCTATGAGCGACACATTTAATATGATAACTGTCATAATTCAGAAGTGTCAGATGAAATGCATGCTTTTGAAATGAGTTATCACTAGATACTTCTTTCCATTTAATTTTTAATATTTTCAAGGGAGTAGCTTCATCACTCATACCAAAAGGATGTATCTGAATAATATTACCATCAGTTTAAAAAATACATTTTATTTTATTTTTTTTTTCTGTGAAAATGGGTTGCTTTTGTATATTTTCGAATTTTATATTGAGTAGGTACATATTTTATTTTAATATGCCATACAAAAAAAGTTTGATTTTACTAGTTCGGACTTTTATTGTCTAATTTCACAAATGAAATAAAGAGTTGTCTGATATAATTCTAATATGATTTGAAATCTATGAAAGAATAAATAAATTGTGTCCAGAGCTTTGCAGTATTTTGTGCAGTTTCTATTGGCAACACTGATTCTACCTCTACTTTAGGTATCACCATTTAAAATCCATATATTGCACCACCGCACCTAGCCATAACCACATTGAAGGATGAACAATAATAACAATAACCTATAACCTCATTATTGTGACATATTGCAAATATAAAACAAAAACGATATCTGCATTTTCAATTGAACTCTTGTGGTTTGTGAAATAGTTCCTTCATGTTCTTCCCTTAGAAAATATTCTGGGTTATAAACACAAAAACTGTTCAAACTTTCACTTCTAGTCAGTTAATCTATATTTCTGAAATGAAAATCGCAATAGAAGGTTGTGCTCACGGCGAGCTAGAGAAGATTTATGACACAATCAGTTTTATTGAAGAGGAGGAGGACATTAAAATAGACTTGTTGATCTGCTGCGGGGACTTTCAGTCATCGAGAAATGAGAATGACTTGCAATGTATGGCAGTTCCACCGAAGTACCAGGATATATGTACCTTTTATAAGTGAGTTAAACCTTTCTACAAATGACATGATTAAAAGTGAAGCCACTGTTGTGTGTGTTCGCTAAATATATTCTCTCTATTAACCTAGGTTGACGATTTGTAGTTACTGATTTCTTTGTGTAGGTATTACTCTGGAGAAAAGAAAGCCCCTGTGCTGACGATATTCATCGGCGGGAACCACGAAGCCTCAAACTATTTACAAGAACTTCCTTATGGTGGATGGGTGGCTCCAAATATTTATTATTTAGGGTATGCAGGTGTTATTAATGTGGCAGGTATCAAAATTGGTGGCCTTTCTGGCATTTACAAAAGCAAAGACTACATGAAAGGTCATTTTGAGAAACCTCCGTACGATGAGAATTCAAAAAGGTCTGTATATCACGTCAGAAACTTGGAGGTGTTCAGGCTGAAGCAGTTATCAAGCAAGATTGATATATTCCTTTCCCACGACTGGCCCAGCGAAGTGTATAAATTCGGGAACGTCCAACAGCTTTTGAAGCGCAAACGGCACTTCAGGTATAAAATATTCAGTAATTCAACGATGAACTAGTAAAAAGTTAATTCGTCATATTTTAGGGAAGACGTAGAGAAGAACGAGCTAGGAAGTAAAGTCTGCGAAGATCTGATGCATTTTCTCAAACCAAAGTATTGGTTTTCCGCCCATTTGCATTGCAAATACGCCGCTTTGGTCAGGCACGACGATGACACAGTCACGAAATTTCTAGCCCTGGACAAATGTCTTCCGAAGAGGAAGTTTCTCCAAGTGATTGATGTGAAAACTGATGAGAAATCCAAAGTAGAGATCAGTTACGATTTGGAGTGGTTGACAGTATTGTATTTGACGAATCACCTGCTCTGGGTAAAAAACAGCAACACCTATATGCCAGGACCGGGAACTAAGGAAAGGTAAGTCAAAACTGACGAGCTAACATTTGGTCCTTCGAGCCGGATGTTTTACGTCAATCTGTGTCGCCTTAAAAGAACGTTTTAACTTGTCGTGGGTTTGTTTTATTTTCATAAAAGTTATTTTGAATTTTGCGAAGGTATAATTTCACGCCCACGAAAGAGGAGATGAGCCATGTTTCTGCAAGGTTTGACAGTGATTTGCTGGTGCCTGAAAACTTTACTAGAACTGCCCCGGCTTATAATCCCACAATGACCACAAAGGAAAAAGCGAAACAACCCGAACCTACTTTAAATCCTCAGACTGTTTTGTTTTGCGAGAAACTTGCAGTGGATGATCCAGTATCGCAAGTAAGTAATTGTGTAAGTAAGTAATTTACTGAAATATCCAAAACTCAAGACTTCCGTGTGCTGAAATCAATCAGCCTTCTCTAATTCTGCCCTTGTTATATTTATTGTACTCTTTATCACTAGTCATGTTCATTGTTTCAAAAAATAAAATAATCTTGTTGATAACCACTTTTGTTACTCGACTATAAGTGAAGATAATAATATGGGAAATGAGTTCTCATCTCAACATCTGACAACAAAGTATATTTTGATTAATCTTCGCAATGATGTTGATTTACTGCGATGACATTTGAATGTAGGAGGTATGTTCAAAAAATTAAGTGAGTTGTAGAAAAAGTGAAGAAACCTGTTAAAAAATTGCTGAGGATGCTTATTCACGCCTTGGCCACCGTATTCACAAGATTTTGCCCCCTTAGACTTTTTTTGTTCCTTAAATTGAAGGCACCTATGAAAGGGCAGCGTTTTTACAGTATTGTAATCATGAACTTCATTATTTCTCAATAAGAATTTTTGAAAGTAATTGGGTAGCAATCCTTTATGTAGCTCAAATATAAAGATCATAGTCATATATAATATAAGTTCTTCAACTGAAAACCAGTTTAGACACTGTAACATCGATTTAATTGCTGAGTAACGGCTACATCCCAATATTAATCGCATGCCCCGATTTTGAAGCTTTTGCAATTGCGCTATTTTATTTTTACCAAGTAGAAATGTTGTACCAAGTTGTACAATAATCAAAATGAGGTTGTATTAGGCTTTTAAAAATAGTCAACCTAGCATACATAGACACTTTTTTACATATACGAGAGAGAAAAAATTCAATTGTTTCAAATGCCCTTTTAAGGTCGAGAAATGTCGCAACAATGTACTGATTTCTATCAATTGTATTTTTCCATTCAGTTATTAAAAATTGTAGAGACGTTTCACATGAGTGTCTAGCTCTAAAACCTAATTGGTTGCCTATAAACAATTTATTGGTATTATTACTTTGCACATGTATGCACCAAAATGATCGATACATCATCATTATTATACCCACCCTTCTAATCTATACTTCTTCAAACCACAGGTCTCCGAACTGGATGGAACCACACTGAACATAAGCCACAATTCCACAATGTCTTTCATAGACGATACATTCGACAGCGACGAACACAACTCCTCGAACAGTTCTTCAATAAGAAAACTTCTTAATCTAAGCCTGCCGGATCCCAAAGGTGACTTCGGCAATGAACCGAAGCTAGAAGAAGACACCGAAGTGTCTTGCGATATCTCTTCCATCGAATCAGAAATCGAACCGACAGAAAAGAGCGAAGACTCCTTTGTAGAAATTGAGCCAGTAGGTGGTGCTCCAGTAGAGGAAATAAGAGTGGATGCCACTTCTGAAGAATCTGTTACTGAAATAGCTGGAATAAAGGATGATTCTTCTAGGGAATCAGTAGACTTGGTGATACCAAACAATTCTTTGGTGGTTGGTGATACTTCGGAGGGTGATTCGGTTGTTTTGAGTCACGTGGTAGAGTCAGTGGGACTGGGAAATACTTCAATCGAACCTTTACTATTGGGAAATTCTTCAGTCGAGTCGATAGAAGTGAAAGATGGTTCTGCAGAGTCAGAAGGACCAGAAGATGCTTCAGTTGAGTCTGTAGGACCAGATGATGCTTCAACCGAGTCAGTAGGATTGGGTGATGCTTTGGTTCAACCAGTAGGATCAAGTGATGTTTCAGTTGAGCCAGTAGGATTGGCTGATGCTTCAGTTGAGCCAGTAGGATTGGCTGATGCTTCAGTTGAGCCAGTAGGATTGGGTGATCCTTGTGCAGAAGTGGTGAATTCTTCACCTGGATCAGCGGCCCAGTCAAGAGGTGAACCAGTAAAAGTGAGTGATGCTGTTTTGGTTGAACCTACAGTCGAGACTACAGATGCAAGTGAGGATATCAAAGAGAGCCAGGCACCATTTCCTCCTAAGAAGCTCAAGAGAAGGAACTTGGCCCTTTATAGATATAATGATACGTAGTTTGGAATTTGAAATAAACGTTTTTTTACAAAAAAATGTGGTTTCAATTGGTATACTAAATGCCAACTATAGAGAAATTAGTCAAAGAATGTTTCAATTAACTTTTGAACCTTTACGGTATTTTATAAAGGGTCTTCCAACAAGGACTTACGAACTATGACATCTGTCCAATTAGTTTTCATTTATTCAGTCTGTTTTGCCAAATCACCATGGACAGATATATCATCCAATAGCACATGCACATAATATCGCGTGCTCCGCCCATTCAATGGTCGCCATAACCGTCCAACCAAGAGGACTATTCGCAGTGTGGTGGATAAATTTGAGTCCACTGGTTCAGTAAACGATCGATCAACATCCGTACATCGACGAAATGCTTGATCTGCCGAAAAAATCGCCGCTGTCTGTGAGAGTGTGCAGGAGAATCCGAGGCAGTCGACCATAGACGACGTCTGTTTGCTGAATGGGCTTTGGAGCAGTTGGCAGCTGACGTTAATTTCCATCGAAAAAGTATCTTCAGCAATGAGGCCCATTTCTGGATAGCCGGGTACGTAAACAAATGAAATTGTCGCGTTTGGGATGATACCAATCCACATGATAATAATAATAATAATAATAATTTATTTAGCCACTGAGGTACAATATGTACATATGGTATGTCAACAGGTACTATTTATACTAAACATATACATTTAAAATATAGCAAGTAAGTGAAATATAAAGTTTAAAATCTCAATGAGAGTTTGTTAGTATACTAAACAAAATAAAACTCAGCTGAAGTTGCCATCCAGATACTCTTGTACATTATAAAAACATTTTTCAATAAAAAATTCCTTAGTACTTTTATAAAAAATATTGTCTGATTTGGAGTTTTTTAAAAAGTTGGGTAGTTTATTATAAAACGTAATAGCACTATACTGGGGAGAGTTTTTAAATTTAGATGTGGTGTGGGCTGGTATTTTCAATAAGCTACCATGCCGCGTGTTATGATTGTGGGATGATGCATTGGTTGCAAAAGTGGACAGATTTTTTCTCGCAAAATTAACACATTTGAACAGAGTGTCCAATGCATCGCGAAAAAGTCACTGTTTGGTGTGGATTTTGGGCTGGTTGCGACATTGGTCCATATTTCTTACACACATTGTATTTTATTTAAAGATAGAAAGCACTTTTCTGAAGTTTTTGCTCAAATCACAAAACATTGCTTAAAAATATACAGGGTGGTACTGAATAAGTGTAAAACATTTAAGGAGGTGATTCCTCATCGAAAAAAAGATAGGATCTTTCATATAAAGAAATTCCATTGGAGCATCCCTTGTTAAGATACAGCCCCTTAAAGGGGGTACATGAAATTTGTATAACAATTTTTTTCACAAGCACTAAAAAAGTTACAATATTGAAATTAAGCTGACGTTTTATACTACCAAAAAGACACTTAGCCAGTGATTTATTTGGTTTACCCCATGGTTGTAAGGGGTGGAAAACGCAACCCCTAAGATTTATTTCCTATGTAGTAACTTTTTGTCTTATTATTTGTTTACCATTTAAAAATTTATTTCCGATAGCCTGTTTCATTCTGAACAAAAAAATTTCTCTTGGGTTTTTGTCCAAAATAAACCAGTTCGCAGCAAAAAATTATTTCACGAACAACTACAGAGATACATCGTCATAAATGCGAACTGCATTTATTGTTATTTTGAAGTTAATACTTGCATTAAACGATTAAAGGGTAATAAACAAAACTAATTTATTGATAACAAAACACACAACATTTAGAAATCATAGTAAATGTTCAATATGTCTACCTTCAGACATTACGCATGCGTCTAGACGTCGGCGCATTGAGCCACGTATTTGCTCAAATATTCCTGGAGTCTCTCTGATTACCCTGCACGCATCGATGATGCGGTTTCTTAAGTTCTCTACATCGCGAGCAGGAGTACGATAAACCAAATACTGTAAATGGCTCCAAATAGAGAAATCGAGAGGATTGAGATCCTGGGATTGAGCGGGCCAGTTCTGTGATCCTCCTCGACCTATTCACTGATTTGTATATGTTTCAGTTAAATGCTGACGTGCTACTTGACTAAAATGGGCGGGAGCCCCATTATGCATAAAAAACATATCCCTTCTGACGCCCAAAGGAACTTCCTCCAGCAGTACTGGATGCACTTCTCTTAAAAATTGAACGTATGCCTCACCATTTAATCGAGGAGGTAGAAAATGAGGCCCAATTAAATCATCCCCAATAACTCCGAGCCACACGTTAAGAGAAAACTGTTCTTGATGGTTAGTTTCGACAATAGAGTGGGGGTTTTCATCAGCCCATATGTGGTAATTATGAAAATTAATAATGTTGTCCCGAGAAAAACTACATTCGTCTGTGAATTCTATCGTCTTCAGAAAGTCACAATTTCTTCTAATCATTTCCAGCATCTAATTGCAAAATTCAAGACGGTTTGGAAAGTCTCGCGGTAACAGTGCCTGTACTCGTTGCAGATGGTAAGGGTATGAGAGTTGCTCCTTTAAAATTCGAAATACCGTCATATGATCAATATTTAACTGGAAAGCAATCTTTCTAGTACTGGTAGTAGGTTGTTCTTCAATCAAATTGAGTACTGCTTCCTCAAGCTGTGGTGTTCGTACTTCTCGATGGCGACCACAATCCTGCGTTCTTTTGTCGAATGAACCATATTTTCGTAATCGTTGATGAAGTCGAGCAAATATTCTATGTGAAGGATGCTGCCATTGAGGATAAATTTCAGCATATCTTCTAGAAGCAAGACAAAAAGTTACATAGGAAATAAATTTTAGGGGTTGCGTTTTCCACCCCTTACAATCATGGGGTAAACCAAATGAATTTCTGGCTAAGTGTCATTTTGGTAGTACAAAACGTCAGCTTAATTTCAATATTGTAAGTTTTTCAGTGCTTGTGAAAAAAATTGTTATACAAATTTTATGTACCCCCTTCAAGGGGCTGTATCTTAACAAGGGATGCTCCAATGAAATTTCTTTATATGAAAGATCCTATCTTTTTTTCGATGAGGAATCACCTCCTTAAATGTTTTACACTCATTCAGTAACACCCTGTATAATACTTTGACCCGCTACTTCGCGAAAATCAATAACCGTATTCATTTGTAATCATTATAATTATTTTACGGGAGATAAGGTTTCGAGATTTTTTTTATAATAATGATAATACACAAGAACTTAGATCTTCATGTGTAAAAAAGTAATATGAATATAGGAAATCCAAAAAGTTAATGATAATAATAATAAATATGCTTTATTGTCCAAAGAGAAATTCTCATTGACGAAGCTTTGGTAAACATTGCTTCTTAAGTACTCAATTTATTCTACAAAAAATACAGGGAAGGAATTGAAATAATATCATGGGCAGCTTCTTCAAACTTCATCATAAGCTGGTTCGGCTCCCGTAAGCTTACACTGGGCTATCTTCCAGAACCTATCTCCAGTAATGAGTAGCTCTTGACACACCGGTTGTTTCATCATTTCTTTTCTCCATTTTCGGAGCAGTGGAATGTGGTTGTCTTCCAGAGGCAACTTTTCGCCAAGTTTAAGGTAGATACACTCTCCTCTCTCTGCCCAGGGCCACATCATGTAGTCTACCTGAAAAGTGATATGAGAGAATGTTAGTAGGGCAGAGTGTTTGGTTTGAAATAGTTTAACGCCGCTTACCATTCCGGGCCTCTCTCCTCCAAAGAACGTTGTTCCTCTTTTTGCAAGTTCATCCTCAAACTCCTGCAGGGGTTCCAAGAGAAGTTTCAACCATTCTGAGGCCGATCTTTCCTCACTGGTGAAGCAACATTTGGCAAAAACTGAAGTCACCGATCCAATTTTTCCGATAAGTTCTTTATCGCGATTCTTGGCTTCAGGTTCCGCAGGATACAGAGGATTCTGAGGATACTTTTCGTCAAGGTAGTCGCAAATATCTAAGCTTTGGACTAGAACCTTCGATCCATCTAGAAGGGCAGGGACTTCACCTGATGAAATATTTTTCTATTAGGTTTTAAAGAAAGGGAAAATTTTAAAATGTTTACCTCCTGGATGGATTTTGCTGTACCATTCAGGCTTTTTGAACAAACTGATATAAACCACTTCGTGGGGAATCTCTTTGGCTTTCAAAACTAATAGTGTCCTTTGGGCGAATGGGCAGAATTTCATTGCATACAATCTGAGCAATCCATCTACACGGGGCGGATCTTCAGAACCTTAAAGTAGTTAAAAAATAAAGCAAAACTTGTTCAATTGATTGAATTTCGAAAATCTCACCTAGCGATAAGTGTTTGGAAGACATTTTGGTCACTTTTTTGAATTTTTTATAGAAGTTTACAATTCTGTTCGGAAACCTCCAGCTATTTGTCATAGACTAGATAAGTGAAAGTATTGAATAACCTCGAAAATTTCCAATTAATCTACCTTCATAAACCATATCTTTCTTGTTTTACCTATCATACGCGATTAAATAACCATGATAATTTCCAGTAACACCTCAAGGACCAAGAAGTCAATGACTTGACAAGTAAAAAAAATTTTAAAAAAGATAAGTAAAACTGTGTCAACTTTGTATAAAACTAGCAAATCAGAATTAAAGAATGGTTAGTTGCCTACCGCCTACTGCAGTTAAATCATTTATAATTGGGTACGAGCAATAATATAATAAAAGACGTAAACGGTAAAACAGGAACCTCTGTCGTATAAAATCCAAAACAAGCAATTTTCCCAACCATGCGCTGTTCAACCTGGTTAGGGACTTCAGGAGATGAAGAAGACTATGTCATTGTATCAGTTTTATACTTACTAATAATGATAATAAATGATTTTATTGAAATGTTACTCAGTACCAGAGATACGAGTACTAATCTAACCTAACAAATGGCAGAATTCAATGTCTGCGCGTGATAAATCAATGAAGAAAATGGAGTCAAACCCAAAACCGGTCGTATGAATAAAATTAACTGGTGGTAATTAGACAAAAATGTTTTTATTCATTTCATTAAAGTGATCATGAATTACTACAAAATAAACAAGTCATCAATCACACATAATATGGAAAACATAACGTATTTATGGAATAACTGAGGAATGTTAGGAATTGTACTAAAATTACTTTTTTGATGAATTCAATAGATGAAAGTAATTTTTTTTCAAGGAAAATGCATAAGTATTTTATGTATCTTGTTTCAGAAACTCAAAAGTGTTTAGGCTTCATCTGCTGATGCGATTGCTATATGCAAATTCATGGAGTATAACCATATCAAATTATAATAGCGGGGGGAGGGGGGTACACCAACATCCACTCCTTATCCCAAATTTATTAATTTCAATCTTATCACAACCTTTGTATGTATTCTTTGTCCGGTGACCTACCAGCAAGTGAAGATAGAACGCAGATATTCAAGCCAAAAGTTCTAATTACGCAAGAAAACCTCAATTCACGTGGACTTACTGTCTATTAACAACCTACAGATGTAGTTTAAGTTAAGCAAGAGACACGTTCCCGGACGAAGCGACTGTTGCATAATATCTGTTATGCAATACAAGAAACTGGTCTACTGCACCGAAGGGAAGCAAAGACCGTAAAAAAAAGAGAAGATGAAGAAGATGCGATGCAACCTCTGTAATACTAACATTTTGGGTTATGCTATGAAATCCAAATATCAGATTTTTAAATAAATAATTAATAAAAGCATGGATGAATGAATGTTTGGATACAGTGTAATATCGTAATAGGTCAATATGAGGATAAATAAGAATACCACAATTACTGGTAAAAACGTCATCTTAGTTCCTTATAGGAAAGAGCATGTTGAAAAGTAAGTATTTTTTTTCTATAAATTATTCTTACTAAAGATGAATCATCATTACACAGATACCACGAATGGATGAAATCAGAAGAACTGCAACAGTTGACTGGTTCCGAACCACTTTCCCTTCAAGAAGAATACGCAATGCAAAAATCATGGCTTATGGATGAAAATAGTACTTACCAAACCCCATATCGATGGTAAACAATCTCTGATTGAATTTTTCGTTTTCAGAATGCACGTTCATAGTTCTTAGTAAGCTTAAATATGAAGAGACAAAAGATGAAATAGGTAAAACTAATTCTTTCACCGTTACCCTAATCATCCCTGTACCATGAATTGTATTTGTAGCTTCAATGGTGGGAGACACGAACCTTTTTTTTGCCAACTGTGATGATCGACTTTGTGCAGAAGTGGAAATTATGATTGCGGAAGAGTGGGCCAGGGGACAGAAGTGTGGTTGGGAAGCCACTTCGCTCATGCTCATGTATGGGATCACCTACCTGGGAGTGAAACAATTCATCGTCAAGATTTCCTACGTCAACGAGATCAGTATCAGGATGTTCGAAAAGTTGGGATTCGTAGAAGTCAGCAGGAGCCATGTTTTTCAGGAAGTCACTATGGTGAAGATAGTCGATGGCGGATGGATTGATTGGCTGAGGCAAAATTTAGGGGTTTGGAAGGTGTCTGAGGGAAGTGAATGAAAGATTTAAAACTAATGTATGTGACAATAAGCATAATTGTCAATAAAAATATAAAAATAATTGTACTAGAGTTTTGATTTTGTAAACTTGAAATAATCACTGAATTTATTTTCATCGATAACTGAGGGTCTTTTTCCAAAAGAGTGACCAATTAAAAAAATGTCTTTGTATAATGCCATCAATTTTTATAACAGGCTGCCTCTTTCTGTGAATAGGTTGATTTCTGAAACTATGTTCTATAAGAAAGTCATAAACTTTTTACTGGCCAAATGTTACTACAGCCATAAGTAGTATTTAGACGATAATTTCACAGAAGAATAATAAGAACTTTCCTGCACTGAGTTAATACCTTGAAATCGGTCTGTAAGTGTATTCAGAATGTTATTAGCCTGGGAAGTAGTTTATTTCGAAATATTCATTTCCTAGTAATAATATAATAGTTTCCAAGATATGATATTTTTCAAATTATTTTTAATTTCATTCTGCTGATATTTTTCGAAGAATTTAGTAAGTCATCATTAAACTATGAATCTCTACTATATCAGCCAAATAGTTTTAATATGTATGTTGATGGCTTATGCGAAAAACAGAATAAATATTTGAATATTTATGAACGCACTCTTATAAAAATAATCAAAGTTTTCCCTGAGTTTCACCTAAGTTTTCCCTGAGTTTCACCTTCGATTTTCAAACCTAGATGTCGCCTGCCACGTAGTCCTATAGAGGATACACATCTATGTAAGTAAGTGTATCTATGGGTCATACCACTAATTAATGTTGCATGCCAATTTCCCCATAGAACCTCAGTTCTCTGAATGATTATAAATGGTAAATGTATGTCCAATAGTTAATGAGTTCTGTGGATTTCCCCTATTTGACAGTACTGCATTGTTAGTTGTCTAATTGTAGGATGTCACACAAATTTGTGTCGTTAAGAAATTTAAAATGTTTATCTTAACTTCCTCTTCATTTTACAATGAGATAAACAGCTTCCTTTCCGAATGTATTACAATAACAAATAAAGATATTTTTAGTCATTATCATGTGCTTGATCCAGGGTACTGAATAACTCATCGGCAAACCAGAAATCTCCATACTGAATAGCCAAGTGAGATAACCTAATTTGAGTATCAAATTTGAAATTTACATACATTCAATTTCAGATTCAGGGACTACTATTAAGTTCCAGTTGGTTTTTGGCTGAAACAATGACAAGGTTTTATTGGAGAAAATATCGTTCTTTGGGGGTTGTAACAACTTTAGCTATACTTTACTTGATAGTCAGAGCCAAGAACTATGAACACAAAGCATTTGTATTTCTTGCAAACGTTCACCCCAGTGAGCCTTGGGAGTTTGTGGCTGATTTTAGTAACATGAAATATCTGAACCCAACAATGTAAGTTTTGCAATTTTTAATTTCAACATTTCAATAGTTTGCAACACTTTTTTCCAGAATCGATTTCAACTTATTGGACGAGAGTGGTGATTATGGACACTGGAAATACTCTCTTGAATATTCCGAAAAACTATCCCACTGGCCACATTCATTCAACACCGCAGTTGCCCACTTCAATATCAAAGCCTCTCCGAAGAAAGACTCCTACTTCATACATTCTACACATAAAACTTGTTTATTATTTGGCTTGTACTGCTGTAAGTATTATCATCAGTGGACTCGACGTTATATACGAAATTTTGTGTTTTTGCAGTAAACTCTGTGAGCGAATTCAAGTTCTCTCATGGTAATTCGTCAAAGGGAGCTTCTTGTGAGGAAAATATTCAGTATCAGTGTCCGACCGTCTTGTCGTCTTTTTGCAGAAGAGAGGTGGTGTATCAGAGAAAAGCAATCATGAATAATTTGTTCAAGAAGTTTGATGGGAGGAAATTTTAAAAAATTTAATAAATATGTGCTATAAGCCAATTATATTTTTATATCTTCAGTTATTTTTTATTTTTTTTTTCTTAGTTTTAATACATAATGAATTTTGGAAAAGTACTTTTCATTTTTTGATTGAAAGAGTTCCAAGAAGCTAAAAACAGTAACTTTTTTCTATGATTAGAGTGAAGGAGATGAAGTATTTGATATGCTGAAAATAACATTTTAAACTCTAAATGTTGTAACTGTAAAATGTTCTTTCCAGACTTTGTGCTGTATTAAATGAGTCCATATAAAACTATGTCTCGATCTCAAGATCCATACAAACCCTGATGTTTTAACCATTTAGTTTAGTTTAATGGTTTGGTCAAAAACTATGGACGCGAGAAATAAGATTATGCATCTTGATTTGTCTTGTGAAACTTTTTTGGGATGGTATATAGTATAGGATTACAAAAAATTCTAAGATGACGCTTGTGTACTGGATATTGTAACCGGAGTGTATCGCGGAATCGCGACAGTTGTAACTTGGCTGTCCTATTTGAAAGATGAAACTCTCGACAGCTGTGTTATTATAATAATCTATTTACACATCATTTAATTTTTTTTCAAATTGATCTCAATGACTGTAACAGATATATAAAGTAATAGAAGAGCTTTACTAGTTGTTTTTTTTAATATTTTTAATTTGAACTCAAAGTTTTCCGGCATTTGACTGTAAAATTTCAATTTTACACTCGGAATTATGTTTTTTAGCTAAGATTGAGTTATTATAAGAAAAACGGCTGAATTCTTCGTTCAGAGTTGGATTTTTTATTACGTTACTAACTTTGGGAGCCAAGTTTCAACTGTTGCGAAACACTCGTTATTTAATACGAGGAAGTTTTTACTGTTTTTAGATTTAGTGTCTGGATATAAATTTTGTGAACAGAGCACAGACCTGTGGGGTGAAGAAAGGAGGAGACTCTCATATGGTTTTTAATCGAAAAATGTTCACTGAACTTTCATATAGTGACCTGAAAACTCTACTGGTACTCTGTTTAACGATTTGTCACTTCTCAATAATTAAGGGGTTGCTGGTACATAGTACTGATATATAATGACTCAAAACAAACGACAAAAAACATAAAAAAATCCTTGTAAAGCACCTATTATTTCAATGTTGATAACGGACAGGCCTCCCTCCTTTTACCCATCAGGAGCAGGGGCCTTACTTTCGAATCACAGTAATTTTTTTCCCGCTAGAAATGACGCAGCTAGACGCAATAACCAACATATGCCCTGAAATGTGAGTTACATCATTTTGATATTGTGATAAAAACAAAGATCCATTCGTGCATGGTTTCAAATAGAGACATATGTGCGTTTTTCCAATCCTATATTTGACCACAGAACAAATATCCCGTGGGTTGGATTCTATGGCCTGAGAATGTTATGCTGTCAATTTTGGAGGTTAAAGAATTTGGTTTGAAAACCGGTACGTTTTTGAATTTGTTACGGAATGAAAATGATAAAACATGAGCTCACATATTGAATCTGGAGTACAACTTTTTTCGAGGCTGAACAGCAGACCAATTTTGGAAGGAATCAACAAATTTCTCTTCCCAGACGGGGGTCCTTATCCAAATCAAGTGATTGAAATCACTGGTCACCCAAGAATCGACAAAAATGACTTGTTGATGGACTTTTTGGTGAAATGTATCCTTCCCAGCAAATACAGTGACGAGTTCAAAGGCTCGGGGGCAATTTTCATCAACACCGAGTTTCAAATAAGTCTGTTCAAGATAATAAAAGTCATAGAAACACACTTGACTGCTCGCAATATTAAGGATTCCAAGAAGGAAATATTGGAAAATGCCCTGAAAAACCTCACCATATTCAATTGTTTCAGCTTGGAAGAGTTGGAAGTGACTTTCATGAGCCTGGAAAGATTCATTTATGCTAATGAAAATGTTAGTTTAGTCTTAATCGATAATATTGCTGCGCACTATTGGATTGCCAAGGCAAGTTCAAACATGTTGAGCTACTTCCAGCACTCCTTGAAGATGTTCGACAAGGTTTACAGTGTCTTGAAGTCTCTAAATATACTGCTCGTATTTGTGAGAAGCGACAAAGACTGTGATAAGAAAAGGAGTTCGACGAATGTAGACTATAGAATCGAGATTCAAGAGAATACAAAAGCTGGCTTTTGTGCTGTGATGCATAATTTTGAAAAACAAACTACCAGTTCTGTTCTATTCAAAGTGGATATAATTTTGAAATTTTGAAGTCCAACTCACAGATGTTTGCCAATTTTATAATAATCACTGTGAAATGAGAAAACTATTTGCCTCGCAGTGAAAATGCCGAGTTGTTTTGCTATGTTGTTGATTGCATATCTCTCTTAAAAAAAGTAAGTAAAAATGTGCCTTTCAACAAGATGACAGTGTCGATGTTTGAATGTATTGATGATTTAGATCTGTCATCTTCAAACTGTTGAAAAAGAAAAAAGTTTCAGTTGTTTACTTCCTTCCGTAGTTTTATTTATCAACTCTCGTTATTCGTGTATTCTGAAATTTAAATATTTAAAATATTCATACTGATCGAAGTGATAGTACAAATAATAATGATGATTATTATAAGACAATATTTGTCATGGAGCTGTCAGCTCTTGGAGTGACGAATATTGTACAAAAAGAGGCGTAAAAACGAATGAAGTAACGAGATTTTCTCTTCGAACTCCGCAGACTCTGTCAAGAGAGTTGTTTTTATTATTGGATTCCTTGGTGGTATCATGCCTGCTTTTTGGATGCCCCAGTACACCAACAACCAATGAAAATGTTGAGAAAATGAAAAACATCAGTTGGGTCTGATAATTTAATCATTTATCATTCATCATCAATAGATGTGTAATATATTTCTATTATGAATTTAATGATTGCATTCCAAACTTACTCAGGTTCTAGGCTCTGAAAAGAGTATTTTATAAATACGTTTTAGAGTTTCATTTTGAAATGATCTTAATGGTTTCAACACAGATTGTGTTGCAATATCCCAAATAGATATTAAACATTGTAATTTTGAATAAATCATACTGAAATAAATAAATATTACTAGATTTTTGAGGATTCAGTGTTAATTTATGAACATTACATTATAGTCTATCCATTCCCAATTGGAACGGCAATAAAAATAAGAGTACAGTCATAAACATTTCTTGCCTGTGGCCCCTAGTCGCCCAGATAGTAAACGTGCTATCAAATATAGTTGAGGAATAAAGGCTCGGCTAGCTGGACTGGCTGAATACTAATTTTTTGTCCGTTTCACAATATTTCTTTATCAGTGCCGTGTGTTCGTGGAGTTAGGTTAGGTAGTGAGTGGTTTTGCAAACCGATTTTTGAAAACTTTTTCTATAGATCAATTACTCTAACACCAAACTGATATTTTTGCACTCGACGCGCGTTTCGCTAACAAGGTTAGCATCTTCAGGGTTAGCTGTTTATATACCAAAAGTTTTTTGGTCCGATGTGGACTTTGTTTGTTAAATGATGTTTATTCTAATTGATTTTTCGGTAAATCACTAGTGGAACCACTACCTGCAAATTAATTTGTCAACAATAGATTAAAAAGCTGTTCCACTAGTTAATTACCGAAAAATCAATTAGGATAATCATCATTTAACAAACAAAGTCCACATCGAACCAAAAAACTTTAGGTATATAAACAGATAATCCTTGTCTTTAAATTCAGTATCAATTTGCTTCTCCTGAAGATGCTAACCTTGTTAGCTAAATGCGGGTCGAGTGTAAAAATATCAGTTTGGTGTTGGGGTAATTGATTTCTAGAAAAAGTTTTCAACTTTTACACCAAAGGTTCCAATCTCATCGTTTAAAACGATTTTTGTGAAAATCTTAGTGTTTTTGGGTACTTTCATCAATATGGCATTTTCTGGAGACCTTTTGAAAGAAATGATAACATTACGTGTGAGGAATCTGTGTCAATCGACAGGGATCCGGAATTTGAAAATAAGGATTTACATGTTGAAGTTCAGCGAGTAATTTTAAATATTCATGAATGCTTGAAGAAGGAAAACTGTCACACTTCACAGAATGCTATTGTGAATAGAATATGCGAGTTAACGAAACGTTCGACAGTTCTTCGAGTCATTAAAATAGGGGATGTTATTGACCAAGCAATGAAACGAAAACAAGGGAATAAAAAATTCGCAAACGTTGATGGTGCTTCAAAAGATGCGATTCGGCGAACAATTTATAGTATATACCAAAAAAATGAAGTACCAACCTTGGAAATGATATTTCCAAGGTTGGCAAATATTATGTGCAAAGTTCCATAAATCCGATCGTTATTAGACCCGATGATGATTCCACCTCATCCGAATATAGCGAAGAAGAATTTCGATTTTTCTAGCAATGTTGTTGGCCTCTATTATTTTGTAAATATATGTTTGACGAGAATTCGGTGTGATTATTTGTGTTTTCAGTGTATTTCAGATTTTTCGGCTCGGAAATCAACTATCTTAAATTTCCAAGTTTTTCATAATCACCCATGGTGGAAAAATTCAGTTGAGATAACTTTTTCATGGGGTGATCAATTGCTATGATTGTAAGAATAAGTAACTGAAAAACTACCACTGAAAAATAATATGCCGACGCCTATGTCGAGGCGGGAATTCCTTATCTGTGCTGTTCCAATTGGTATTGGAAATACTATACATCATTTTGTTTTTCCATTCCTCTGTGTTTGAAAAAAATAAACTGTTGTCCTCAGTAAATTCAATTCATATATTGAATTTATCTGCACGAGAAAAAGGGTAGCCCTAAAAAACATACCTGCTGCCACGCCGCATGTGAATAATTATAATTATTAAACCAGTTGTAATTTCATAATAATCAAAATAAGTTCCATTCCAAAATCAAGCAAAAATTCATTTGAAACGACACATTTAATAAATTTGCAGAACATCCGAGAAAGAACTCCAATAGATAAAATAAAAGACCCTGATAATTCAAATAGACAATTTAATCCACCTTTCTCACTTTCCTAAAACTATAAAAATAAATAACCTAGAATAAAATATTGCTACAAGCCCCTTGACACAGAAGACAGTCATAAGTATGTATCATAATTCATCAAAATGGTTATACAGGGTGAGCCAGAGAACACAAATATTTCTATCGTCTAACAAAAAACCGCATAGTGATTGGAAACGCTTGCAATTAACAGATTTTCCCAGGTAAATATCGGGAGATAGAAACATTTTGTTAAAGACACTTTGGAAACACTTCTGTACAAATTTCCTTTCAGTCACCTGTGGCCCACTCTGTATCGAATTCCTCTCGCATATGCCCCAGAAATAAATCACACACGAATTAGTAGTAATATGATACGTCTCTATCCCTGACGACAGCGGTTTGGATAGGAACATCGCCCCAATGGTGGTGATCTTTCATTTCTTGGGCCGCATCTGTGGAAGAATCGGGCCGCTGGAAGCTGAACGGCCATGTCTGCAATAAATAAAGGTGGCTGGTGTTAAAAGAGGTGTCGAAAGCTCTAAACGGTGGTTAATAATTGCTGTAGACATGAGTACAGGGGCGTAGACAGGTAAATGTTAAGCTCTCTATAACAAATAAAAGAACTGAGTCTTTGTCGAGTGGAAATTAATTCGTCAACGAAATCGGTCTTTCTGAACATTAGTCAATCAATCAAACATTTATTGAATCAGTTTTCCTTCACAATCACATTAGACAAGAAAAAACATAACATAACATAACATATGAATAATACAACTAACTTTCCTTTATTTTCAGTATTTTAATATTAAATTTTACAAAAAGGGTTTGAAGCTTTATATCTTCTATTAATTATTTGCGAGCGCTTTCGACAGCTTTTCTATTGCTGAGTTTCTGAACCTCCCGGAATCGAAGGAATATACCTACAGGTCACTGTTTCAGAGGTCTTCTGCTTCTTTGCTAGCAGAATCAGGAGCAAATATAACGGATATTAACAAGCACGGAGGATGGAAGTCTACAACAGTACCTGAGGTTTACATCGATCAATCTGTTTCTTATAAAAAGGCTATTGCTAAAAGAATAATTCAAACAGCCTAGCTCCAGCGTTACAGCATCGTCATCTTCACTTCAAGAATTGAATGTAAATGCCCATGAAATTGTTAACTCAGATAGTTCAAATTTATTATAAGGCTCTTCAACATCGCGAAGTATCAATATCAGCAGTTGTTCTAATGGGGAATGTTCCTCCTGACGAAAATCAAGTAGTTTTCATAAAAGAGCTCTAAAACAACGCATTTTAAACTTATCATTTCAACCTTTTTCTTTAAAAAATTATTCAAATACTCAAAAAAGAGGAATGAAATAATGCATTCAACATTTAAAGGGATTCGTTTCTATTTCACTATTTGGCAACATCGGTTATAGCTAATGAAGGATAATGAATCTGTTATCTGTATGAGACAAACAAAGATGACATATTTCAGAGGCGTGCTGTTCTGTTTACTTATGTTCCGAGTTCCGAGACATTCTGTGACATATGACATTTTGTGCACCTAACCTTCCTCTATATAAATAAAGAACAAAACTGTTGTTTATTTGGTTTGTAGAGGTGGTATTGAACTATAATTTATATTTTGCCTAAATTGTTGATTTATAAAGATAATTTTCCTTTTTTAAAGTAGAATATCTTGGTAAGTATAAATTATTTCAACTTGATATAAGCGCTGTTGCCAATATGTGAATTAGAAACAAATCCCTTTAAAAAGTAAAACCCAACATTTGAAACATCAATTTGAATACTTTCCGAAGTGAATTTAAAAAACTCATGAATTAAAACTCAACTTTATTTTGTTCAAACTTGCATTTGCTGTAATAACCCAAATTGAAGACATTCCCCATTGTACTTTTCATATGAATGTTCATAAATAATAATAATAATAATGTAAGTAATGTATATAATACATTTGTAATAGATTTTAATTATTTCTATATCTATTGTTCATAATAAAACTTCCTTGTAAATTGAATAATTTTGTATTGTTCATTGCAATTTGGTCAAAAAAATCGTGTTAAAATACTTTTAAGTCTAGTGTCGAAAATATTTTTAAATATTTACTACTATTTAAACATCATCTTTTAATACTCTTGACAACCATTAAAAATGTCAATTTTAATGACAGTTGTACAAAAAATTTATTTTTGTGACCTTTGACCCTAAATTTCTATAGTCATGTACACCCTACCATATGCAGGTTTCGAGACAACTTTTAGGATGTCAAAATACAAGTTAATCTGAGTTTATAGCTGGTTATTTCAAATTCCGAGGTAAACTCACTAAGATAACTTGACTATCAGTTATTATCACAAACAGAGAAAAATATCTTCAATGTACGGACATCGCTCAGTCCATTTTTATTTTTTCACGATTCCTCCCGTATTTCATCTCTCTCAGCTTCTAGTTCTGGATGCTGAAGCTTAATTTATTATTCGTTGTCAGCAGAACACATCAAATTCAAATCCTACAGTCAAACAACTTTTCGTTCTTTCTTCTACGAGCAGGTGTTTTCTGTTTCAGTGAAGCGAAATCTAAATTGTTTCTTATTTTGAGTTTTTCATTTATTTGTCACTTTGTATTTTCGAAGCGAAACATAGAGAACCATGTACACTTATATCTATAACTAGAACATAGGTCTGGAAAACGTGGTGGCTGTTTCTGTCTCCCACAGTTTTATGTTGAGATATTTCATTATTGAATAATTGATACACCAAAATGCTCCACGAACTAAAGAGCCTACAAATCGCTCGTTGGCAGTTTAAAATATTTCCTCGGAAAGATATATTCGGCAGTTGTTTATTTACACGTTGAAGTTTAATACTTACAATCACAATGAAACGGAAATAAAAAGGAGGCTCTTAAAGGGACGAGCTCGGGCCAAAAATCATTTAATGCCGAAAATCCGCCAGCTGGGCGCATTTGGCGGCGCTTTCTAATTATTCAGGCGAGACGTTCAAGATGTTTTTATAAGCGAAGTGCTGCCACTCATCATGCCCCGCACAACATAAGCAGATTCTAAAATTAGCCGGAAATGCGCCTTTATGGCTCTTTTTCGACTTTGCCTATTATCATTTTTCAGCTTGATATGTTTACTAATTAATATATTCGTCAACACTAGTTCATTGTTATTAAAAGCGTGTTTCCATTTGGATTGATACGAATTGTTACGGTCCCAGAAAACGCATAACCTATTTTCAATTCTGGATTTTGAGTTTCCCTTCTCCAACAAATGCTTTCATGAATTTCATTAGTTCAGACTTCCATTGTCTGATATATTCTGAAAATAACAATTTTACTAAGTAAGCAAAAAGACCCTGAAATTAATTAACAGTGAAACAAAATACAAGTAAAAATAGAACAAAAAAATTTTGTTTTTCCGTAAATCAGCTGTCGCTGGCCCTTCGAAGTCCAGAAAAAGGCAACTTTTCAGCCTTCTTTTTCACAAGATAAACTATTTAAAAACAGAAGCATTTATTCACTAGATCACCTTTACACCTTATTCCTCCTTAATTGACACTTTTCAATTCAACAATCAACATTTTTCTTATAAAAAACTCAATTTAAAAACGAATGCTTCTTCTGGTGACATTCTTCTATTTATAGGTTAGTCACTAGTGACATTTCAGAAAAAAGCGATTGGTATTTGCTGCCACCTACTATTTTGAATTCGTAGATTATCTTAATACACCACCAAAAACCAATTTACGATCTGAAGAGTGAAGGCAAAAAACATTTGAATTACTTTAGGAATATTGACTGCTTCAGTCGTACCAACTATGCCATTAACCTTAAAAACGTAAAATACAGAGATATATAACCAAAAAGCAGCTCCGTACATTTTTGAATATTTGATTTGAGAAATGTTGATTTTTGAAATGAAAAGTGTCAAGGAAGGAGGATTAAGGTGTAAAGGTGACCTAGTGAATAAATGCTTGTGTTTTAAAATAGTTCATCTTGTGAAAACGAAGGCTGAAAAGTTGCTCTTTTCTGAACTTTGAAGGGCGTTAACTTTGTGAATAAGGGAGAGCGCCGCTTTTTTCTTTCGGATTCGTAATCTATGCATCAAAATACGTAAGTACACTCAACATTTTTTTAAATTGCCGGGTGCCCTCAAAACGAATATTTACCAAAGTTTAAAATCCCGGTAAAGAAGACGTGTAATTTCTTACCCCTGTAACATGCGTTATTTGTACCCATATATACTAGTAGTATGTTCCACTCATCTGCTTTGTTGTATGAACATTTTTGATTCAAATTATCATATAATTGTTTGGTTGTTGTTGTTTTGGTGGAGTAATTAATATTACTGGACCAAACCGTTATTTTAACACCTCAACACGTGTTTCGATCATCAAGTGATCATCTTCAAGAGGAAGATCAAACTACGAAACACGTGTTGAGGTGCTAAAGTAACGGTTTGGTCCCATACCAATCTTCAAATTCAAGTAATTACTATAACTTTTGTGAAGCGATACATCCTTAACTTCTAACTTCCATGTTTATCGGCAATAAACTTTCGTTTTGAGAGAAGAATGCATTTCAATGATATGTGATGATAAAATACGAAAATGATAGGTAAAAATCAAAATGAAAGAATCAACATAAAAACCCAAGCAGATGGATGTTTTGGACGACTGCTCGATAATAGAGTTATTTAGTATCATAACAATGATAGAGAAGAGAAAAAAAATACATCATATAGTTGCTAATAACTCTTAATTTTCTTAACATTATTTTGATCAATTTAACAATTTCATTGCATTACCGTACATTGAATTTTAAATCTTTTAAATTAGCTGTGATTTTATTTCTTTCTTAAATTGATTATGATTTAAAAGGGGTAAAATTTCATTCAGATAAGAAGGGGCTATATAAGAAAAACATCCTTGAAATTTGGAAGTACGGTGTCTAGGTATGTTGAACGAGTTAATTCTCAAATTGACCATATGTATGTCAGAATGCCTGCTTAATAAACTATATAAATAACTAGGTGTTTTAGTTTGAAGCAACTAAACAAAATATTTTTATCAAATATTGGACTCTGTATCTCATATTCAGCTCCTCCATTTTTAACAAAAATGGGGTGACATGTTCACCATATGGTATACAGCATACGAATCGCATGCGTTGTAAATTCTGTTTGTTATATTGCGGCAAAAAATTGTAATACACCGAACAACAAAACTCGATATGCGGGTAAATAAGAGTTTTAACTAACCTGAGTTTCATTTCTTCTGATAACTGATACTTGGAATTTATATAGCAATTTGAGTTTGAAGAATGATACTTTGAAAATGTTTGTCACTTGTTCATGGATAGACAAAGAGCTATCTATGGTTACGCCAAGATTTTTAGCACTGTCTACCCAGTCAATGTCTGCGTTATCGAGAGTGGGCCTAAAGTTACACTGAGTTTCTACTATTTGTCTTTGAGACCCTATGCATAAGGCCAAAGTTTTATTTGGATTGATTTTCTGTCCATGATTCTCCGGGTATAGGAATGTTTTGTGCAAATCTGTGTTTATATTGGCCACGCAACTTTCTGTATCGATGTTATGAGAAGACAAATATAGCTGTGTATCATCTGCGTATAGATGTACTTGACAATGTGATAAGAAAGTGGGGTTATAAAAAATAAACACTGAAGACATCAAGGGTCCGAAAATACTTCCTTGCGGTACACCTGAGATTGTTTCTTTTAGGAATGACCATGAGTAATCATCCAGTTTGACCCTCTGTGATCGGCCTGAGAGATAGCTGGTCATCCATTTAAGAGAAATGTCATCGAATCCTATAAACTTGAGCTTGCTGATGAGTAAATCGAAATTAACTAAATCGAAAGCTTTACTTTGATCAAGCTGTACTAAAATGTTGACTTTTGATTGATCTCTGAATCTCGCAAGATCGTCGATGGCTTTCAAGAGGGCAGTCTGTGTTCCATGTTTTTTGCGAAACCCAGACTGCTCGATTTTCTTCAAGAAAAGCTCTTATTTCCCAACAAGAATTTATAATAGGTACAAAAATAAAAATCAATAACGAAATCAAATGTTTTTAAAGTAAGTAGTTGTAGGAAAAACCCTTTACAAGCCTTCAGTTGATTGCTGAAACTTCTACCGTGCTTACTCACCAAAGTCAGAGGGTGCTTGTGAAAGGGGTCGTTCGCAACGGGCTCGTCCATGAGTACGGCCCTGAGATGGGCGATGTAGCTGGTGGCCAGCCGCAGGGTGTCCAGCTTGGAGAGTTTCGTGTCCGCCGGCACCCAGGGCAGGGTCGTCTTCAGGCGACAGAAGGCCTTGCTAAGCACCCTCATGCGCGCCCTCTCTCGCTCGTTGGCGGCGTTCCGCTGCGGTCGTTTCGAGTCGTCGAATTCGTCGTCAGAGTCCGAGTCTGTGGAGCGTCTCTTTCTCGGCATCTTTCATCTGCGGAAGGAAAATGATGTTTGTTTATAGTTTGTTTGTGTTGGGAATCACGCGTTAAAAGGTAAGACCTCGTTAGTCCTTAGTTCGCACAAGTTTAGACTATTGACAGCTGTAGTTCCTAGTGGGGCAGCAGATGGTTAACGGAAAAACAGATTTGTAACAGTTTTTTTTCAACTATCTAATGAGTGATTTTTTGCAGGTATCTTTTTGGCAAAACTGCTTTTGACAGATCACGCGTGAATCGTGTCTTGTGTCACTGTCAAACTTGTTCAATTTGGTCTATAATTTAACCATGAATCGACTTACTAATGAACAACGCTTGCAAATCATTGAATTTTATTATCAAAATTCATGCTCGGTGAAGAAAGTGCTTAGTGCACTTCTTCCAATTTATGGGCAGTTTCGTCGGTCTACTGAGGGAGCTATTCGGAAGATTAAAACTCCTTCCTCTTTGAAGATGATCACTTGGTGATCGAAACACGTGTCGAAGTGTTGAAAATAACGATTTGGTGTTGGGAAAAACTCCAGTAATATACATTCTAGATTTGTGACACAGCTAGACTTAGATTCGAACAAAAAATGTGGAGTTCTTTCATTAGCATTAAATACTGTGGACCATACAATTTTTCTGAAAATAATGTATATTATACAGTGTGACCAATTTTCAATGGAAATACCCCCCTAAAATTTGAAGTTGTAAACCGATTTTAATAATTTTTTTTTTAAATGTCAAGTACTAAAAGGTCTACCTTGGGACAAAATTTGAAATGTTTATTGAAATTTCAGGGCATACTACGATATTTTTTCTTAGTCGAAAACCAGGATTTTTTATTAGCGATTTTTTATTGAAAAAATCACTACGCCACTGGATTCAGAGTGCCTCTAAACAGGTGTGACCAAAATTTCATGAAAAAATATTCATTATTAACAAAGTTATGACAACTCAAAAATTCGAAAACTCACACAGCTAGCAGTCACAATTTTTTTCATCTGGTGGCACTTTATTGTTGAAATCATAAAAAAAATGATATATTGTGACTGTTAGCTGTGTGAGTTTTCGAATTTTTGAGTTGTCATAACTTTGTTAATAATGAATATTTTTTCATGAAATTTTGGTCACACCTATTCAGAGGCACTCTGAATCCAGTGGCGTAGTGATTTTTCCAATAAAAAAATCATTAATAAAAAATCCTGATTTTCGACTAAGAAAAAATATCGTAGTATGCTCTGAAACTTTAATAAACATTTCAAATTTTGTCCCAAGGTAGACCTTTCAGTACTTGACATTTCAAAAAAAAAATTAAAATCGATTTACAACTTCAAATTTTAGGGGGGTGTTTCCATTAAAAATGGGTCACACTGTAGGTATCCGAGGTTTAGTTTATAATGGGTTTCAAAATTATCTGATGAATAGAAAGCAATATGTCTATATTGGCGACATAATTTGTAAAAACAATATGTGGGGTACCGCAAGGATCAATACTTGGACCTGTTTTGTTTCTTATATATTTCAATTCTATGGCTACAGTAAATTTACATCAAATATCTTTGTGGCTTCAATGCCATAAAATGTCACTGAATTTTCATGAATCTTTATATATGTTAACATCAAAATGGTCTATATCAATTGATTGAAAAGATCCAATTGAATCCAATAATGAAAATATTAAATACTCTCCTAGTGCTAAATTTCTTAGTCTCCTTCTAGATGAAAATGTATCATGGAGGCACATTGAAACAATAAGAAAAAAATAGCTCCCATAATTGGAATTTTATTCAAAATAAGAAAAGTTGTACCCCTAAAATACCTTAAGTTGATTTATTTTTCTTAAGTATATTCCTAAATTCAATATCTGATATCAGTATGGGGTATGGCAACAAACTCCTCATTGAAACCAATTAAAAAACTTCACAACAAAAATATAATGTGTATACACAAGTTTCACCATAAGGAGCCTGCAGTGAACCAAAAAAACTATTATATTTGTCTGTTTTTTGTTCATATTATTAGGATTTTTGTTAATAAGGACCTTTTGGGCATATTTTTTCTGAATATAAAAATTTTGCTTGATCAAATGTTATGTTATGCCAATATAATTTTATATCACGTTTGTATGAAGTTATTCTGCTTGATAATGTACTCAAAGTTGTTCCAATATAATTTAAATCACAATTATTATAATTCAAATAACAATGATCATTGTGGTTGGAAGTTGTGATCTGGAAGTTGTTCCAATGTAATTTATATCACAATAATAATTGTGATATAAATTACAGAACATTATCAAGCAGAATAACTTCACACAAAAGTGATATGAGATTGAACAAAAATTCATGTGCACTAGCTCAACATTATATTGAAACAGGAGACAAAATTAAATTCGATCAAGCAAAAGTTTTATATTCAGAAAAAAATATGAGCAAAAGGCTTTTTCACGAAATGGTCCTAATAATATGAACAAAAAAACAGACATAATCTATGTATAATTCTCAATTATTTACTAGACATAAATGAATCTCGGTATTATTCTCAATTAGAAATAGTCACACGTTGTATAAAATTAATTCAATGAGCATCTATGAAATAGAATTTTTTTCAATAATAATGTCACTCTTGTCATTACAGTAAGCTCTGAACATGACATTACTAATGTCAGATATCTGAAAATTGTGACATTATTAATATCAATGTGCTTTATTCATAAATGACAAATTCATTCGAAATTTTTTTTATGTTATGAAGCATTTTGGTAGCTCATTTGAAAACTTGATACCTTTATAATAAATCGGAGTTTGCCCAATATTTGTTTTCATTTTCATTAAATTTAAATTGCCTGAATATCTTGTCATCTTGTCGAGTAGTTGTGTTGGTCACCATTGACTTTGAAATTCAGATTTGACCAAATGAATGAAAGTTCATAATTTGCATTTATGCAAGAATGACAACTCTAATAGTTGTTTTGGTTTATACAAGTTGACTGTAGACTCTTTGTAGTTTAATTTGAATATATATAATTTGATTCTGAAGTTTTTTAACTCCGCATACTGATATTAGATAAAAATAAAAACAACAATAAACATTAATTGGCGCTCCGGGGCGACTTCGTTGATTCCAGTTGAATATACTAATGAAAAATAAATAAATTTAGGGTAATTTAGGGGTACATTTCTTGTTTTGAATAAAATTCCAATTATGGGAGCTATTTTTTTCTTATCGGTCCAATGTGTTGTCTCCATGATATAATCCAGTCATTTAAGTTTAAATTAGGTAAGAATCTCGGAATTCGAGATACCCAGCTGTAAGTCTTTATATACTTGTTTATTGACACCCTAAAAGTTGTCTCAAAACCTACATATGGTAGGGTGTAAGCAACTATTAAATTTCAAGGTCAAAGGTCACAAAAATCGTTTTTTTGCGCTTTTTTTGGAAATATCTCATTTCCTATGGGTTTTTTGCTATTTGTATTCATTATCAATATTGTAGAATACAAAATTCTCTACAAATTTTGTT